ATCAAATATTTAAGGAGGAGAATTGTATAAAAGAGGGGAAAAAATGCAGAAGAATGATAAAGAAAGGCTGAATTTTTAGATTGAAATTGAGCCTACAATTATATATACAAAACCAACTCAAGTTGTATGATCAAATTTTATTTTTTATTTTGTGTAATTTCCGAGATGTTATCTTATTCGGAAAGATCAAGCGATTTGGCCAAGCAATGACAAATCTATAAATTAGTTTATTTAAATAAAAACAAAGTTGTAGTTGGCCGGGTGTGACAATGATGAACTCAATGAATGTTATCTATCAATATTGAGTTGTCGTTAATGGACAAATATAAATCATAATTTATTGACCTATGCAAATTATAAAGCTACTTGTTTATCTTCTTCGTACGACTTTTAAGATTTTTTTTTTCTTTTTTGGGGTAGAATTAGTAGAATTGCAATATCATAGTTTGCGAAGATATACTCTAATTACTTCCATAGAAATTGATGGTTTGGAATCTTAATAAACTTCAAATCACCTTTTTTTTTGTTTTTGTTTTTATTTGTCGTTATCCTCTACAATACAAGGATTTGAAATCAACTATAGTTGTAAATCCTATTCAAATAGGCTGGCTTTTATTAAGATCTCTATTCGAGGGTATCAATCAATTTTGATTCTTCCTCTTCTTTATAATGAATTTTAGGGTTTTACTGCTAATTATCTTTCCAACTTGATGAAATTTTAGAAATATCATCTTATTTGATTCGTTTGAAATTTTCAAATCACATATATACTTAGGTTGAGAATAACTATCGATTAATACTTGAAATCATTATTTACGGGTTCATAACTTTCGAATAAATTGTAACATATTAGACACAAAATATCATCAAATGTTTAAAATCTAGTCAGCCTTTTCTATTAGCTGGTTGAATCAAATTTACTTTATTTGTCTAAGAAAAATATTGAGTCTAAATGGAGTAACTTTTCAAAAACTGAGAAAACATAGGAGTAAAAATAACATAGTACTTGGATCAAAATGATGAACAAGTTGAAAGAAGAATCATATATATAGCTTTAAATTTGTAAAGCAAATATGCAACATATATAAAAGAGTTCAAGTGGATAGCAAACTGACAAGGTCACTCTCAATCACAACTTTGCCCTTCCTTCAAAACGCGTTTGTCTTCGTCAAAATGGACCACTTCTCCACAACCCTTGATTTTTTCCATTTTTATTGCTACATTTTTTTCCTTCCCATCTTCATCTTTTGTTTTTGTTTTGTTTTTCGGGTCACCAGCAGTATAGTTAAATAGATAAGACATTTATTAACATTTAAAAAGTCGATATTTTGATTCGTTAAACTCAAAATAAGAGTCCGCTTTGAACATGTATAATATTATAAAGTTTTTTTCTCTTAGTAATTTTACTATGACAATTAAATGAGATGCATATCTCGTGAGCTATTTTTATGAGAATGACACATTCCAACCATTATCCTACATGAATTGATAAATATATCTAGTTGCGACTGAGAAGAGAACAAAATCACCAACAAGAAAAAAATTAAGAATACCCAGATTTTTTAGATCTAAACATCACTTAGTAGATAAAAACACTAGTTACCTTTCTTGAGGTACAAAATTTAAGCTCTCATCACAACATTTATTATTAATAAAAAAGAAAAAAGAAAAAAACACCTCAAATTTATAATGATATTGAATGGCAGCTTCTTTTTTTTTTTTTTCGAGAAAGCTTTTCCTTCTCTTTTTACCAAATGCATTATTTAATCTCTAATACATACTAGGTTTCAATTTTTGGTCTCCCTGTTTTAAACCCTTTTCCATTGAGACTCTCCTACTCTTGAAATCAACTTTACAATTATTATATGCTATATAAAAAAAAACTATAAAATTATTATGTGGCATTAAAAGTTATTAAGTAAAAAACTTCTCTTCATTTGCAATGTTTAAAATATTTTTAAATTTTTAAATGATGTTTTGGTCATGAGGTTAAAATCTCATTTTATGTAATATTATTATTTAAAAGAAAAAAAATGTTTAAAAAATTATTAGATTTTTAAATGATGTTTTAGTCATGAGTTTTAAATCTCATTTTATGTAACATTATTATTTAAAAAAAAAAAAAAAACAAGTCTTCCCTTATCTTGTTTGACTGAAACATAGTAAAAGAAAAAGAGGAAGAAAATTGGTAGACGACTTTCAATGATGTTGATAGAACGAAACTTTACACTACATTCTTGTACTATCATAACCAATCAGAACTCTTTCATTAAGAAATTATAATAAATAAATAAAACCAGAATCCTAGCCTATCATAGGTTTTCTATTGGGCCGGCCGCTTTTATTAAAACATAACAATTTGAAATTAAATTTATTGTCAAAATGTTGAAGTAGATAATAGTATATATTGAGAAAATCAATTATTAAACATAGTAAATTGTTAATTTAACTATGCCAATTTTTTTATAAGTAAATTATAGACTTATTGACTGAATATTTTTAACCGTTCCTTGGCTATTCTAGATTACCATGTCACTTTATAATCAGCCACTAATTTATGATGTTAATTTACCTTGAAGTAGTAAGCTATTGGTTGCTTATGAAAATTTTAAAATCTCCAACGTCCATTTGCAAAATTTGTTTTATAATTGCCAACATTGGAAATCAAAATCAAAATTTAGATATGATTTGGTTTTTTTTCAAAGAGATGTTATTGGGCCAGCATAAATAAAGCCGAAATGGGCCTAACGCAAACCCATTTGGAGGTCGGCAATGGGCAATTCTCTGTAACCGTTACTGGGCCAGCAGAAAATTGACGCCAAGACCAGCTGATGATTTCTTGGGATATTAAAGGAGCCCAAAGTAATTTGGAAATTAAGGGCTCATTTGGTAACGTTACTATTTTTGTTTCAAGAATCAAGAAAAATGAATTGTATGGTCCCAATATTCATGAATTGAAGTGTGATAAAATAATTTTATTATTTATGTTTTGGAACAGATTGGAAATGGAAACAAGAAAAAAAAAACTTGTTTCGGTTGTTTCTAAAATTTCTATATAATTTTGAGAATGTTTCGGAACTCACAACCTCCTGGTTAGAGATATATGTCAATTACCACTGAACTATTTTTGTTTTGGCAAAATTCTTCAATTAAATCTACAACCAATCACATTTTGAAATTAAATGATAAAATAATTACGTGATACATACATACATGTGTGTATGTATGTGTAGGTTTTACATAAAATAACGTGGAGGCAGGTGTTATTCGCATATTGCATATATTTTTTAGCTTTATATATATATATTAAAAATTATATAATGGTAATGAGTGGTATTCTGCATTCATAGTGATATGGTATGCAGTACAAAGTGTGTGAAATTTGTACTACAACATACTTTGGATAAATTTCTTGCAAGTACATTAATGAAGTACTCCATACTTTATTCTTCATTATTTATGACATATCCATGCTCGAAGATTAAATAAAAAAAAATGATTAACTGGAGAAACATAATCTAACCATTCGATTCTATGTCGGATTCCATTTTAAAATTTAAAATAAAATATTATTATATATTATCTTCTCCCAATATATACTTCTAGATGCATTAAAGTACAATAAATTGCTTCGAATCACTCAACCAAACCAACATATTTTTATATCACTATCCAATTCACTAAGATGTCGATTTTTCATTATGTAAATTTAAAATCTGAACAACCATCATCTGGTACTTGGTCAATTTTAATGGATTTCCTCGGTTATTGAAAATAGTTAAAATAAAAAATCTTAATTCCAAACATTTTAATGGCTCAATTTAAAATTTAAAATGAGCTCTTTCATTTTAATTTTATGAAAATTTTTGGGACAATAGTTTAGGGAGATTCAAGCTCAATTTCTTTTAGTAAAAGATGAATATCTTAATAATTGAGGTATGATATTAATTTTATGAACTATTTTAATTTACTTAGTAAAATGTATTTTGACCCATCACTATTTTGTCAATCAATATGATAATTAGAAAATGCTTTAATTTTTCTTTTAATTACAAAACGAACTTAAAATTTTAAAAGATCAGAATAAGGAATGGATTATTTTATTTATCCCATTCTTTAAGAACCGTGTAACCAGGTTAGTTGGAGTAGCTATATCCCACCGCCATTGTTTTATTATTATTATTATTATTATTCAGTAAATTACTCTATTTATAAATAACAGAATCCATTCACCCATCACCAATTATATCTAAAAATTGTTTTACGATGTAAAATGAATACAAATACAAGTTTGGTTGGTCAATGGAGTCTTCGATCTTATCTACAAGTAACAAAAAGCTGTGAAGGTGACGTCATTGACAGACAGCCCACGGATAGCCAAAGAAAAGGGCAAAAAAGGAAAAAAGGAGAATCAAATTCCTCGAATATTCATTTTCATATTCTCTCTCTAAATTTCTGAATCTATTTACAAATTACAACAGCCAGAGCCAGAAATATGGTTTCATAAAATCTCCCCTCTTTCTCTCTCTAGAAATTATTTACAAAAACAAAACAAATCTCCAATCAAAAGATTCGATGTTATATTATTATATGCGACGCCACGACTTCGACGACTCTCTCTCCGAATCGCCGATTATTTCCCAATCAATTTTTCTCTCTCTCTCTAGAAACTCCATTATCTTCGCCTGGCCAGCTTCATCTTCTGCTCTCACGTAAATCTCTTATCCCCACTACCAATTTCTATATTGTTATTTCCAAGTTTATTCCTTTTCTTGATTCTACAGATTCCCGTATTCTTCTTTCAGCCCCTTCTTTCTCATTGGCCCTCTTCGGATTTTTCTATGTTTCGAAACCCACCGACTCATCCATAAATAAACCCACCCCCTCTGATTCTGATTCACCTCAATTCGAAATCAATCTGGGTTTTTTTCGTTTTTGCTTTTTGCAATGGATTTCGTTGATAACATTTTGGATATTCGAGTGGGAATGGATTTGAGGCACTATGCCGATGCTTTGGATCAGGAACGCCGCAAAATTCAGGTCTTTCAGCGGGAACTTCCTCTCTGTTTGGATCTCGTTACCAGAGGTGAGACCATAAATTAGGGATTTCCAGTTTATTTTTCTCTTCTCTGTTTCGATTTTAATTTTGTTTTTCTAATTTGCAGCCATTGAATCTTGCCGGCAGCAGTTTTCTGGGTTGTCGACGGAGAGCTCCGAGCATACGTCCAGCGACGGCCCTGTTTTGGAGGAGTTTATTCCGATTAATAAAATTCCGGTTACTTCTCATTCTGAAGATGAACAATCGGAACCGGATAAGAATGACGTAGGTCGATCCGATTGGCTTAAATCCGCTCAGCTTTGGAATCAAACTCCCGATCCTCCAATCACAGAGGTAACATTTCATCGTTTTTGTTATTGCTCTGTTTTACTCTGTTTTGGCAGCGGGGCAAATGAACGGGAAATTTCCGAGAAAGTTGTGTAATTTTTTGTTCCCTTCTTGCAGGATGTTTCCAAGAAAACGACTTCGGTTGTTGGTGAGGTAAAAAATAATGGCGGTGGCGGTGCTTTTCAGCCATTCCAGAAGGAGAAATCTCCGTTGAAAACAGAGGCGGCGCCGGTCGTCGGTAAAACGCTCGGTTCTTCTTCGGTGCCGGAGGCGACGACGAGTTCGACTGCGGAAACCGCCTCCAAAGGCAGCGGTGGAACCAGTAAACGGGAAGATAAGGAATCTCAGACTCAGAGAAAACAGAGGCGGTGCTGGTCGTCGGAGTTACACCGGCGATTCTTACACGCCCTACAACAACTCGGCGGCCCTCACGGTACAATCCAAATTCATCTTTTTTTCTTTTTTATTTTTTTCAATGGATGATTTATTGATATTATGAATTAACCAACTGGGTTTATTTATTTATTTTTCATATTTAATTTCAGTTGCTACACCGAAACAAATCAGGGAGTTGATGAAGGTGGAGGGCCTCACTAATGATGAAGTCAAAAGCCATTTACAGGTTCACACCGCAATTAATTTAAGTGAATTTTTTTGGGGGGGGAATTAAATTAAATATTGTAAATTAAAACTAAAATTTTCTATTGTTGGGTGCTTAATTTAATTTCAGAAATACCGATTGCACGCCAGAAGGCCAACAAATTCTGCAATGCAAGACAGCGGCAACTCATCGGCGCCGCCGCAATTCGTGGTGGTCGGGAGCATATGGGTGCCGCAGCCACCGAAATCCGCGGCGGTGGCGACACCGGAAGTAAGAAATGGAATTTACGCCCCGGTGGCGACGCCGGTGCCGTCTTCCGGCAAAACCCAAAGGCCACGGCAGAGGGCGTCGGACCACAGCGCCGGAGTGGCTCATTCGAATTCTCCGGCGACTTCGTCATCCACCCACACCACCACAGCCTCCCCGTCGGCGTAGATTCCTCTTTTTTTCCCCCCTTTTTTTATGTGTTCAGTTATTATTAGTTTCGAGAGGAGAGAAATATAAAAGTTTTGTAACTAAATGATACAGCCATGTGATATAAACACAAAATTTTCACGTGAAGTTTCTTCTTCCAACAATTTCATCTTCGCCTTGTCTTATTCGAATGATCGTGGGAATGTGAATCCAAATTTTTTTTTTCTCTATTTTTAATCCTATCAAGTTTTAATAACAGTTGTCAACTATCCGCCAGTTTGGCATCCTTTCTATTTTCTTTTATTAATCTTTTTAAAAAAATAATTGTAAAATATTTAAATTTCTTAAAAAAAATGAAAAATTGAAACATCAAACGGCCCTACCCGACCAAAAATGTGTTGATGGTAATAAATGTGATTAAAACTTCGCAAATCAATCTAATTAAATTTTATGGTCTCAACAATAACAATTAAGAACCTTTGTAACCATAATCATATTTGTTTCTTTGTATTTCTATAACTCATTTTGGTTGTTTTATTTTCATAATATCAACTGCTTTCCATTTTTGCGTTCTCCCCCCCATAATGATTGAATTATAGAAAACTAATTTCAATTTTGGTATGCCCATTTTGTATACTCTTATAAATTGAGCATACTGGTCTATTTAATTATTATCTTCTTTTTATCTCTTTCATTTTTTAGAATAAAAGTACGGCGAATTTGCATTAGGATTTCAGGAGCAATTCTACATCAATCACTTAAGTATATGAATGAAAATAGACTAAAATAAATAAAATAAAATTGATAAAAGTAGGCAAAAACTAGAAGGGTGCGTAAATTTTTACCAAAAAGAGATTTGAGCTTTCTTAAAGAATTTTGTTATTTTATTTTTACTTTTTTTTTTAAAAAAAATTGTTGGCAACAAAAAAATTGATTTTTTTTTTCTAGAAAGCATATTAAAATAGGTCTACAAAGACAGTAAAACTCTCATGAAAACTATAATCTAGTTATTAAATTGGAATGAAATAATTTAGTCTTTTAATATGTAATGATTTAGTTCAAATACTTTAAAACTTACTATCTTTTGGTTTCTAAAGTTTTTTCAAAAATTTTATTTCGATATTCATTAAATCTTATGTTACATGGTTATTAATTATACTATATCTCATAGTGTGGCATATGATATAAATTCACGTGGTGCCATGTAAATGCACTATAGAAGTTAAATGATAAAGATCAACATGGATTTTCAATCAAAATGTATGGAAAAGAATAAAATAAAACGTATAAAAGTACTAAAATGAATTCACAATAAATAAAAATGTAAAAAAAAAAAAATAGTTGGATTGTTTTTCATATTGAATAAAATAATATTTTATAATTGACAACGTGGATGTGGTTTGGAGGGCAAAATTTGAGTAAAAGATGACTATCAGTCTACATGGAACTAATAAAAGTGGTTAGTTAAAAAGTCTGAATTTTCAAACTTATCGATCTTATCTTTTCTTTTAAGACAAGATTTCCAACTTATTAATTACTCCATCACAAAACAAAATTAACATCGCACTAAACTCACCAAAATAATAATAATAATAATAAAAACAAAAGAAAGAAAAAAGTCCTCAATAATAATCCATAGACCACAGAAAGAGAAAGTTGTTGTTGTTTTTTCCAACGAGAGGGAGAAATTAAAACTTAAAAATTTCTCTTTCTACGGGAGATAAGGGGTTTCTTGGTCAAAAACTACCGACTAATATTATGATTCTAAATATCCGTTGATATGTCGACATTTTCATCGATATATTCATGTTTCTATAGGTTCAACATCGACATGAGGGGTAAATCGATATTTCAATCATAGTACAAGAAAATCGATAAAATATAAAAACTATCAACAAAATGTCACTAATATATACATAATATTAATATTAATTATTTTTAACTAATTTAGAAATAGAAAAATGGTTATTTTATTCATTTAAATATTCTTTATGATTTTTTTTAAAATTTTCTAACTTTTAGAGAAATATCCGTCGACATCAATATTTTATTGATATTTCCACGAAATTGAGATATCGACATTCCCATCGCCATCGACATCGACATTTAAAATCTTGATTACTATTGAGTTAAACTTATGTTGTTAAGCTCAAAGATTTCTTAAAGCTCTACATTTTAGTCTCTAATTAATAAAATCAATGAGAATGAAATTAACCATATAAATTTATTAGACACAAAATTAAAAGTTTAGATATATAATTATCTTTTTTTTTTTTAAATTTTAGAGACTGAACAAACACAATCATCAAAATTTAGAGATTAAACATAAATTTATCGTCATATCAATTAAAAATAAATATTTATATATATAAATATGAATTTACTTACAAATATATGAGTATGATATATTACAAAGGGTAAGTTCCAACCTCCTCTCATATATTTATAAATTTATGTTTTTATAAGAATATGAGAAATGATGTCGCCATGGTAGTGTAATTTGACCTAATCTAATTTTTCTCAAAATGACTCTGGTCACCTTTTTTTTTGGTTAATTTTTTAAATACCACCTACTACTTTTTTCGGTACTGAATTTTTTTTTTCAATCTCCTTTTTTTTTAGGTGGCAAAGGTACATATTCTGAAATTTGATTCTCTCAACTTCCATTCATAATACACTTACCTCTCTCTCTCTCTCTCTCTCTCTCTCTATATATATATATATATATATAATAAATAAAGAATATATATCCCAACCAATTACTCAATAATTGACTATTCGGCCTTCCTATTGGACTTTTCACATGTGTGGTCTACATGTTTTTAATACTCAAAACTAATCTCTTTTCTCATGTTTATCTAAAATTTACTTGCACTATAATACTACCTGGTTTGATAATATCCTATTTTTCTTTAGTTATTCTAATCCATTAATTGTTAATTCCATTAATAAGTGTCAACATGAACTAACATGAACTAAGCTTAACGGTAATTGATATCCATCTCTGATCAAGGGTCACGAGTTCGAATTTCCCACCCCTATTTGTTGTATAAAAAAACAACTAAACTGACAAGTTAATTAGGGATCATTCGCACTATAAATAATATATTTGTAAAAGAAAATAAAATAAGCAACAATAAATTATATCAAATTCACAATTGTCCCCCTTTTCTTAGTAATTTTGTTTTGTGATGGGAATGATGTGAATCTTGGGGTGGAAACAGTAGAACGTATTATTGGATTTCTTTTGAAATTTAAAACACAAAAAAAAATATATATATATATAAAACAGGGAACAATGTCGTTGGATTTTACATTTGAAGACTCTCCGAATTGAGACAACACTACTTGATATTCCTCGCTAAGTCTTTGGGTCGAGAAATTAGAAAACAAGATTTTTCAAACAAGAGAGAAAATTACCAAACGGGGAAGAGCATCTTACCTAAAAATTGGCCCACATTATTCATTTTGACTAATTATCATTTTGAAGAACAAAGGTACTTTGAGCCATTTTGTATCTACACATCCATGAAAGGTCACCTATATCTCAAATCAAAATTTCACTTTAATTATTATGAATTTATTTCTTTTATATAAACAAATATATTTCACAATTGTGATCTAGTAAAGTCTGATAATTTATGTGGACCGACCATAAATATATTTATGAAGCGTGGATTCTGCTAAATTTATTTGCACATAAGTCTTCTAATATTATTCATGTGAAGTAATGGATTGTATTGTATAATAAAATATTATACCTAAAAAATGTTGATTCACAGGTTAGAAATATAATCTTCTTGATTTTCTAAATAAATCGTTGTTATTTTTCATATTGTTATAGTTGGATCGATAACTATAACATGATTAGATGCTAATTACTAATTATGTTAACAGCCATTGTTAGAGAAATAATAATAAGGAAATCCCAGATGGATAGATTTGCTTTTATAGATGACCTGTTTTCTCATAATAATTGAAGTTATGCTTAATATGTAATGATTTTTAAATTTTACAAGTTAGAGGTTTCTCTTGGTATTCACATGAAACCTATATGATAATAATAATAATTAATATACATATATAGTAGGTGGTTCGGTAGATTTTTCTTTCTTTCTTTTTTTTTTTTTTTGAAAGATGTAGGTTAAAAAAATCTTTATTTTTCTATTTTGAAGTCTGAATAATTATTTTTTGTTAGGTAAGGTTACATCAACCTGGAATGATTTTAAAAATATAAAATAAAAGAGTATTGGTACATATAAATATAATTCTTGATAATGAATTTGTAATTAATAAATTAAATTTAAACGAAAATTCTTAGTCAATCTAAACATAACTCAATGGATTAAAATACGTATTTTTAATTAGAAGATTGTGAATTCGATAGTACTAGAGAGAAATTGTTGGGTGAGTCACTGAAGTCGTTGTCAAAAATTAACTTTTCATATTAAAAATAATAATGTGGGTAGAGGTTATTAATGATTTTATGCATGATTGATATAAGTGGAGTGAAAGAAAAAGGAGAGAAAAAGAAATAAAAGATGTGGTTTGGATTTGTTTAAATTTAGAACGTGGTGTCTTCTGATTTTGGTCCCAAAGCCAACGCCAAACGACCAAAAGCCAATATCCCAAAAAGCTGAAAATGGTCTCATGAGTCATAAGTCACAACTTTTCCCTTTTTCTCCCATAAAAAATATATATATTCTATATTTATTTTCATTTTTCTGTCATTTTTATGTATGTAAAATGTAATAATTTCATTTGTTTACCAACATGATGATATTAGATTTGAAACTGCAGCCCACGACAATATGCTCTAACAATTGCTTGAGTTGTATTCAAGAAAAAGAATTTGGTTAATTTAGTATTATAACCCATTAATTAATGAATTATTCTTCCCCCTTAGATATTATTGGTTTAAATTTCTCCCTGTCACACCTCTTATTTGAGAAGAAGAATCTTAACAAATTATTGAAAGAGATTAAGGAATATACCCTCCTTCTTGGGATGAATAAATAAAATCAAATTGACCAAAGAGATCAACTTGAAAAATTTTATAGGTAGAAGACGAGGGCCGGAGAAGTAGATATGATATTGTGATATGCATTACATTAGTTTTTTCCTAGAGATTTTTTGATCGAAGGATAGATATTTTCGTATTTATAAAACGATATGATGTTGTCTATTTCAACCGATATCGATTTTTAATTCTAACTATTTAATGTTAGAAACTAAAATAATTCATATTAGTATATCATTAAAATGTCAAGACTATACTGCAAATGATTAAAAAGGTATCTTTCAACAAAAGGAAAAGAAATTAAAATTTCATAATATCCTTTGGTATATTTAACTAATTTGGAATATTCTCTCTCTCTCTTTAATTTATTACCTTATCTTTTGAATTCTGACCTGGCCCACAACTAACCTCAAGAATCTTGCCTTGTCTAAGATTCCCCACAATCAGATCTATATTAATAATAATCTTGGTCCCCTGGCCCACGCTTGTAGAATATGCAAGTTCCATCTGCACCGTAGATTGTTCATCTGACGGTTGGCGTTGCACGACCATGATATAATTAATGTCTCACACACACAGAAGCATTGCCCAGTTTGGCGAGAGAGATAGTGACTCTTGGAGTGAATAAAAGGCCAAACGACTTTTCGTTTTGGCGAGAGAAACCCGAAACAAAACGTAGGCTAAACGACGACGTTTCGTATGTGCATGAGAAACTTTGTGTTTCGGGAAAATTCTTGGAATATTCTTCTCTTAGCTTCTGTGTTGGCCTAACTTAATAAAGATTAATGTTTATAAATGTTATCTTTTATTTCTCTCAATTTTATTAATTCCCATCTTATGGTATTGTATAAACGTGTCACATGCAGAATATGTATATAAAAGAAATACTTCATCGGAAGTATCAAACGTAGTCAAAACAAGCATAGTTCAAAGGTAATTGATATATATTTTCAATTAAGAGGTTGTGAATCTGATTCCTCATCTAACATATTGTACTTTAAAAAATACCAATTGTAAATACTATTTAATCATCCATTAATTTGATTTGTTTTAGTCTTTAAATATTCAACATAATTAAAGAGAGAGAGAAATAAAGGCCTTGGATGGGAAACACTAGCAGAACTTAAATTGTGTCTTTGTGAATTGTAAGAAGAAAAAATTCAAAATGGAGACAAATTTAGAATAACATTCCATTTGTCATCAAAATATTTACTCACATATGGTATGGTTTGACTAAAATGGTATGATATTTAAATATGTATGGTATGACTAAAATAGTAAAAATTGAATTGGAACAAATATTATTATTTAAATTTGGATCTACCTTTCCAATTTAACAATTACAAGGTGGGAATTGAATTATTGATATTTAGGATCGTAGTTGTTTTATTTACTAAATTATGCTAGGGTGTAGTATGAGATTAGTGCATAAATAAGAAATACCTTAGCTACACATTAAATTAAATATATATTTAGGCAGGGATAATATAATTAACTAAAATCATTAAGGTCCGCGACCCAGTCATTTGTAGATGAGACCTGATTTTATTTCAATTTTATTTTTATTTTTTATTTTATATTGATTAAATAAATCTAAGTTAGTTTATATATTTTTTTAATACATGTGTGGAAGTAAAAATTCGAATTTATTTTTTAAACTTAAGTTAGTTGGATGTTATTCATGACACTCATGTGAAAGATTACCGTATTGAAGATACATTAACTTCTATTCTTAATTTATTTTTTTTTAATTTCTATTCTTAATTTTATATTTTTAAATAATAAGTTGTTAGTCTCGCTAACATTCATCTCTAAAATAAAAAATTTTAAAACTGAATAAATATAATTTACAAGCATAAAAAACCACAACATAGGAAGTACATAAATATTTTTTTTGGGATTTTCTTTAATCGTTTTCGGTTGGTTTATTTATTTTAATCTAAAGTCACGTTTCAATACAAGTTTTCTAAAGCGGTAATATACACTAAATGGAGATAATGTATATCATATAGTTTTCCCTAAGAAACAACCTATCTCAAATGCACATATATATCCAACACACCTACATTCAAATTTCAAGTCTTCCAATCCTAAATAACAAACATCTCTTGAAGTAAACAACAAGTTTATCTAGAGAGTGACGTGTCATAAATGTATAATGAAATCAAATTTCATCCGATCCAATGAGTTGTCAATAATGTCTGACGTATCACTCATGTGTATATATGATAATATTAACAATAATAGTTTAATCACTCAAGGACTAAGGCTAAAAAGGCATCACTACTGATATGAATAAGTTGAGGATGAAAGCTAATAGCATTCACAAATCCGTCCAAGTACATCCACCTCTCAGTTTGTTTGCATCTCTAAGACTGTCATTAGCCACTAAACAGAGGTTCTTCAAACTTCATTAGTGACATTATTAAAACAAATTAACTAAGCCTTAAAAGACTAAGTCTTAAAATGTCCTCATCACGATTCATTGAGCCGATCAAATCGAACAAAAACACCTAATTAACACTTTGTTTATGACCTAAATGTCATGTACTACACTACTCCCACAACTGGAATATTTTGAATCATATAATAAATTATATCTTCTCTTGATTCCTTCTCTCTAATGTACATTATATCGTCCAAGTTCATCTGAAACTATTGTTTAGTTTGCTTCGGAAGTTTGGGTGCCTAAGTTGTTGTAATCTCAAAGGACAGTTTTTGAATTTAAAGATGTGCAAGACAAGTAGACTTTCCATTCGTGATACATAAATTAATCTAAGGACTGAATCTGACCAGCAGACTTTCTCTGGCTCAATAACTACTGGAAGATTCATGATGAATGAATGTAAAAAGTGAATGTAGGTGGTCCTAGTTTGGACATGTAAGAAGAAGATATATTGGGCAGAGTTTGCTTTGGACTATATTTTGTATTTTCAATACTGAGCCCAATGGGCCATCATGTTTTCTAAAACCAAAAGGTGGGTTATCTCACATACACAGTTGAGGGAGGAGTCTCACTTCTTGAAAGACTAAGAAGCTATATTTGACACCAAGTAGCACTAAAACATAGACTATGACAAACTGCAAATGATCTATAAGAAGAATATTGTTGAGTTATCCCATGTAAGTTATGGAGGGAAATGGATATTAGCTCAGAAATGTGAAAATGGCAGGAATTTGTCTATCGGGTAATTAGGATTATTAAAAGAATAATAAGGGTACGTTAGTAATTAGATAAGAAATTAGTTAGCATGGATTGGTTATAAATAGAGCGAAGCAGAAAGGAGGAAGGTAGACAACTATGTAGTGTGGTTTAAACTTGAGTAAGAATTACTCAAGGGTCTAAGTCATTTGAATTACTCGGGAGTTATTGTGTTATTCTTTTATATTTCACTATATTTTAGTTGTTTCAAGTTCTATCAGAAAAACAACCATACTTGGCTTGGTATGATTCGGATAGCATCTTTCCTTAGTTATGACAAATTTGGAGGGGGTTGTTTATGTACCTGAATGATGCTGAAGAACACAGGCTTCATTAGATTCCTTCATCAATATAATTTATACATTTAAAAAAATGAGTTCTTACGACAACAAACCAAGCGCTCACGCTAGATCTACGGTGGGGAAACATTAAGCGGGACACCGGGAGTAGGCTCCAGGACCACTGCCTCTGGCAGCTCCTTTGATAACAGTTCCTGCATTGAATTGATAAGCATTAAATGGAGCTTCTTAGTGTTTCTTGTCATTAGCAGACTAGAAAGCAAACAAATTTGGCAAGAACTGACTCCCAAATTATCATTGAAATTTGAAACGGTTCAGGAACCACAAATTAAACATGCTCTGATTCTAACGAAGAAAAAGTTCGTCCCATGACAATGGAGTACGCATTTTGACCTTCAAATTTACTTGACCGTGTTATAAAATTGTGAAACCTACGTTCAAAGAATATATTTAATTATTACACTACTTGACTCTCATTAAACTTATCAGCTTCCATTATTTATCACGACTACATGATAAAAAGAAAATAAGGCAATATCAACTCACAACCTAAAGCCCCATCATGTAAAGTTCAAGTATGAATATAACCATCAGTTCTGACTTAAGCAGCATAACGACTATGGTTTAAGTAGATGTTAACCTTGAATGATCCAATAGTCCCTTCAGCACTTACTAAATTTGCAAGAAACCCTTTGCTATCCATATCTCCATTATTCATTGCCACGATGAACCTGAAAGATGACAAGGAAAGATAATTTGTTAGAATAAGTTAGAAATATTTTTAACTTTTAAGATATATGGGCATATTATTTATTACCTAGGGAGTTTATTAGAGTAAAGATTAGAAGTTAGGCATATTATAGTAATCTTGGAAGACAGGCCTCTGGAACGCTTAATATCCTTTATAATACATTTCAGCACCAATTTTCTTGATTTTCAACCTTAAGTCTGGGGTTTTGTCGTAATTATATAGAAATGAATAAATGCCTCCACCAAGTATTGGATATAAGGTTTTGGAAGCATCTTACTTTGCATGCAGCAGCTTTGCAAGTTGAACTGCATCTTCTTGTCCCGAAACCAGAGTAAAATTAGGCAGAAGCTGCTTTATCACTGGTGTGATGACAATATCAGCCCTTTCTTTCTCCAAATATTCCTTGTTGTAAGAGCAGTGAGGTTCATAATAAAGAGTCAGTTGGCCTTGGGGAGAAATAACAAGATACCTGTATCAGATTTTGAGAATGGAATCTAAATAACCAGGTTACAAAATACGATGTTCATAATGTAAACTGTCAGACTATTTAGTGGGGGTAGGAATGTAGAAGATCAACATTTTTACCCATTCTCAGGACGTTGCCATGGAGGACCTAGAACTGGTCCAGCAGTGGCTCTAATGACTACTTGAGAACCATTTCTTGCTTCAATAACTGAACTCTGACGAGGTTCTAGATAAGTGACCTGGATATAACTAAAACTGGCCTTAGAACATTAACATATGAGCACAAAGTGGCATATAGAATCCTTGCACAGTAATAATCTAATCAAATTTGGCATTAAAAAAACATTGAATTGAAAAGAAAAGTGGATACGCAAAGGTGGATACGAAAGGAAAGTGCCTCTATATGCAGGGAGGTTCTCATTTAAACAATTTAAGCGAGGAGGAGGGAGATGCTCCTATGTTATCCTTTATCACTCTTGATCTCGCTGGCTTCATGCCTTGAATCTTAATAGTCTATCCAAACAACAATCAGTGAACAAAATATAGTGGGAGATTCAGATAGAGCATGGTCTAAGGAATTCCTTCTAAGTTCTAACTACAGTAACATTTCTCTGAGGGAAGCTTTCCTGATCATGTAAATTGGGGAAGACCATCTTCTACTTTATTCAGCGAATAATTTGCCCAACAATTGGTCGTTTATGCCTATTCAGACTATATGACTGTTGAAAATTATGTACATAACAATAACAAAATGCTGCACTATAATTCTCTGAGCGCCATATGTACAATGTTGCAACATTTCTGTACTTCTTTATCCAGGGAATCGAAATCATGGGGTCATATGAACCATTATAAAATAATTGATACAATGTCTAACGATGTTATGATTACCCGATGACATTATATCCACCACTCCACAGATAAATACTCCAAATTCAAAAATGAGAAAAATCTCAAACGCCATCAGCTGGTTTAACCAATTTTCTTGACAAAATAAATAACAGCACATCAGCAAATAGAAACCTGATTATCAATTTAGCCTTGAATGGCGGCAGAAAGAAAAGTAAGACAATTCACACCAGAGTCTGCTTACATTGCTGAAAAGTGGATCCAACAATGTCTTTGCATTTGGAGTTGCTACGACCTTTAGATTTGGAGACTTCTTAGAGAGAGGCCTCAAGGTCTTCAAATGGCAGTGATCATCAAGGCTTTGTGTAATTAGTAAGCAGTCAACCTCAGGAAGTTCACTCAGCTGCATTAAAGTTGCTCAAGTATCAGATTAGTTTATTAATTGCAGCATCATAGAAACTAAATACTTAATAATTATTCTAAAATAACCTGGAAATTCTTCAATATCTTCTTGGAGGCCTCATACAGCCATGAGATACCAAAATCAAGATTGCCAACCAAAACTGGATCTACCAAAATGGTCAATCCGCCCACTTCCCACAACCAACTATTTCCCTAAAACAAAAAGGGGAAAGCGTGGAGATAAATTCTAAGTACGCTATTCAAAATCAACGAATAATTATCGAACCCAACTAGATAAAACTAAGAACCCGCCTCCAGATAAGTTAGATTAAACGCATCAGCGGTAGAAACAGTCGCCCCATCGGCACTCTCTTCGGTAATCACAGCCGGAACTACCCTATTCGACCTGTAACGAAGGCGTTAGTGCAACTACAGCTTCTAGTCTCCAACATGAGAAAAATCGAGGGAGTGAGAATAAAATACCTAGAAATCGAGACCGTCGGTAATAAGCTGGAAGTTCTGTAAGTGGAAAAACTCGTAGGTGAGATTGAAAGGGCGAGTGAAGAAGGGGAGAGAGGCAATTTGGAGCAAAAGGGTTTACAAGAGCTGTGCAGAGATATACACTGAACAGCAGCCATGGCTTCTCCACGTACACTGCCACAAAATTTTCCTATTTTCGCGCGAAATAGAGAAGACGAGTGTCTATTTATCTATTTATTTTTATGGGTTTCCACTTTCCAGTACGTTCATCAAGATTATGAACAGTTCGATCCACTCGGGGAACGTTGATTTGGTGTTCCTGATTTGGCCACTTGCCCGTTGGCTATTACCTCACACACAACACGCTCTACCAGTAACCTGTACGGATTATTTTTTGCTTTTTGAAGATGAAAAATTAGTGAAGACACTTTTGAATCAACCGTTTTTAACAGATTATTTTTTGCTTTTTGAAGATAAAAAATTAGTGTGGACACTTTTGAATCAACCGTTTTTTAAAAGCTGAAAATTTTCTATCCTTCCTTTGGGTTGGGTTTTTTGTTCCTCTGTTCTTCAACAAAGTGGAGAGATTGAACTTCGTACTTTTAGAGAATTCGAACTCACGATCTCTTAATTAAAAATAGATGTCTTAAGCTATGTTAAGTTTGACGTCTTGTTTAAATAATGATATATTAATTTGAATAATTAACATAATTTTTCATTAGATTATTAATTTTAGTATATCTAGTAGTGAAACTTTGAACCCATGATCTTTAGATTGGAGGGCGATGTTTTAATCATTTGAGCTATAATTTAACAATTCTTTAGTATATTAATAATTATGAATCATATAAATTAAATAATGATTGACACAATCATATATATATATATATATATATAGGAAAACAATCATGTAATTTTTGAAAACTATTTAACAAAAAAATGTATCAAACATGATGGGTAAGTTGAACTTAGGAGTCTTCATGAACTGTCTCGAATGAGGGAGATTTTATGTTTTAAATGAAGATAAAATAAGATGCAAGTTTGTAAGGATTACAATAACATATCCTTTAACCATCATGGGTGGTTCGTTGGTCCAAATGGACTATGGTTAATTAAAATGGAATAAGTTCAAATCCTATGATGACCACAAATTAGTAATTCCTATGTATTTCTTGACATCAAAGCAATTTTCACCTTTTATTCTCTAATAAGTTTTTGTTTGAAAGCTTATTGAAAAAAGTATTTAATATACGTCAAATGAATTATAAATAAGAGTTTAAGGGTAAAAAATGATTTATTTCCTAAAGAAATGCAAACTTTTCCACTTACAAATTCCTGAAGTCTATTTGTATGGTTTGTTTAGGATAGGTTTGCTATTAAGATTAAGGATATTGTTAGGGTATATTGGTAATTGGGTTAGGAGGTTTAGTTATAAATAGAGAAGAGGGGTAAAGGGTGAGGCAGACAATTAATAGTATGGTTTAGGCTTGAGTAAGAATATCCGAGAGAAGAAGAGAGGGTCGAAGTACCTCGAATTACAATAGTTTGTTATTTATTTTCCCAAAAAAGTAGTTCATCAAAATTTGATACTGCAACTTCTACAATCCTTGATTCTGAACATTCAAAGTGTGAATGTGATCATAATTCAACAACTCCCTTTCTCTTTGACGAGTCTACTCAACGAGAAATTCTATATCGATCAATAAGTTAATCTTATCTTCTCTCCTGCACAAATTACATGAGTTTATGAACGAAAATGCATCTAGAGACATAGTAAAATCAATCTTATGTTCAAGCAAACTTTACACATCTCATGACCATCCTATACAAATGCTTCACATTGTCACCAAAATGTCACTCTAACCAGCAGCACCATAACCAACCAGTTAAGAAGATAATTTAAAAGAAGGAACTGAAACGAGCATCAGATTCCTTATGCTCTGATAAAATGGGGTTGGGGGCAAAGAGATACCTCGAGTTTCAATTCATATCTTAAATGCAAGTTCTCTCTCCCATTTTCTTGGACGATAAGGTATGGAATGAACGATTTGGCTACCTTTAGGTGTTGGTAACTCATATGTCGAAGGAATTTTCACATGCCATACAATTTCATTCTCGTGTTCGAACTTCCTGAGCGTTTCAGCCACGACATCGGTCTCTCTTCCAAAAACAAGTTTCCATGAATTATCTTTTGGTATTTCCTTTTTCGCATCAGTTAATCCACGTCTAAGAACTCCAATAGCATCTCCAACTCGGCCATTAGTCTTCAGATCTTCTGCAAGGTTCTTCTGGCTTTTCAACTCATGTAGAGCTCTGCAGGCTGATACAAATTCCTAAACCGATGAAAAAGGATAAAGGTTATAACCGAGGTCATGTGGCTGATACTTAAGCACTAGATAACACATCCAACTAGCTCGACGTATGAACATTTAAAACCAGCACGAACATGCAAGAAGCATTCTTACCAGAAAGCTCGAAGACATATCTTTACATTCACCAGCAATTATGCGTATATGATTAGCTGCTTCATTGAGTAAGTCAACAATACCATAGTGTAGCTTTGACAACAGACCTGCAGTTGTTCCCTTTTCTTCGGCCCTCCTCGTCGTGACAGCCTATTAAAATTTTTAGGCCACAAGATAAGATCAATATAGATAACAATTATCGGGAATTACATTTAATAAAAAAATGGAACCTCCCAAATTCCCAACCCTGATCAATACCAACTATACTATTTAGTCTCACGAATTGCAGAATCAGCCTAGAGCCCATTTTTTTCAGATGAAGATCCAAGGTAGTTTGAGATGGCCAGAAAACCAACCTGAGCCTCAGCTAGACAAACAAGACTCATGGCAATTGAAGTAGATGGATTAACTTCTGGTGGCCTTTCAGATGGCAAACTGTGTTGGATGGATGGAAAAATCTCCTTAGCTAGATATTGATAAACCCCAGCAGCTTCCCTAAGATTTTTTGTAGATTGCACTAGATCTGTACAAGTGAAGAGTAAGTGATCAAGTAGATATAAATCCACGACTTCTGCAGGAAACTAGTTCATTGTCAGTACCCCCACCTTGTGACATGACTTCTAATGCCCTCTGCCTCAGAACAGCGCCATATAGGAAAAGGGTCATCCCTACCTCAAACCTCATGTTATCTATTTGGTAAAATTTTGGACCACGGTGAAAGAATGAAGATGCACTCAGACTACTCGACCATCGTATCTTTAGGTCTGAAGTCCATCGAATAATCTTGAATTTACTATCGACCTGATCAACATGGGAAATAAAATTTTCCAACAAGGGTAGGTACTGCTCTAGTTTGTGAATGACCTGGAAGTTTTAGAAGTGGCACAGAACAAAAAAGAATGAGCACACAGCATTAGTCGCATTTTAAACAAGGTTGTAGGCCATGAAAAAAGAGAAGATTAAATCATTGGTTCAAAAAACAGTTCCCCAGATAACTCAGTTGAAACTTCGGGCTAAAGTGTGTGTGTGTTGGGTGGGGAATCAGAACCGCTAAAGCAGTTGGGAAAATACTGTTAGGGGAGTGAATGGGCAAAAAAGCAACAGCCTTTCAAATGAAAGAGGAGAGATAGAGAGGCCATCGGTTTAAATCAAGTTACATATATCGTATTGACTAAAGAAAGAATATAGCTGAAATTGAAAGAAAAAAATCAAGACACATCCATTGACATATAAGAAAGAGGCATTACCAATACAACAGAAAACACATATGTCAGTATATTAGATTCGCAAATAAGTATTAACCGGTGGGCGACGAGGTTGGAAGATGCTTAATTGTCGACATATTACCTGTTGAGAATGAGATGACAACCCCCCAGACATTTCTCTTGCAATAGCCTCTGTGATGGAGCTAGTTTCATTAATGGACTCCTCAATAACTCTACGCCTAGAAGTCATCTCCTTCATTTGTTCAAGTGTACCAGAATCTCGGGCAATGAATTTTTCCTCAAACACACACTGCACGTATAGACAAATTATCACTACAGCCTCAAATTTATAATAAGGTAAATCCGTGTATTAAATTTTGAATAATGGAATGATGGTTCGATCAAATTTAAAACTAACTTGTACTTTAAATTCATAGTAGACAAAATAGTTTGATGAGCAAATAGGCTTCAGCCAAAAACCATCATCGTGTAAGACTTTGTTGTATCGCAAAATCACAAGCTAACTTGAAAATCTATAATATTTAATTTTAACCCAACGAATTAAAGTTCTATAAAAGTCACTATAATCTAATTTTGATACCTTAGCTATTCATAAAACCTATTGTTGCATTACAAGTCAGTTATTTATAAAACCATGTTACTAACTGATCAATGGAAACCAATTTATTAGTAATCATAATAAAGACTGCTCTCTCTGTTTGGGTATTTCCTATTTTCTTTAATCTAAACCTTAATTTGGATGCTGAATTGAGAACAGTTAAACCCAAGTCTTTTATGATTTCTCTTAGCTTGCCCTTCATGGTCAGCTGGTTATAGGACCTCTTCCAGAACTCTCACTACAATTGCAGATACAATTATATTCTCTCCTCTTTTTAGTTTGCAGAACTCAATTACACACACAGATTTAGCTCTTGAAACCTCCACTGTATCGCTATTCTAGTATTCTACACTCTAAAAAACTCAAATAGCAATTCAGATAAATACCCAGAAGAAGAGAAACATACCATCTTGGTCTTAAGCTTAGCTGGGTCTGGAAATTGCAGCATCATCTTTGACAAAATCAAGACTGGATCACCGGGTAAGTGTTTCGAGTAGGAAATCCAGAAGTAAAATCAAATAAGAAGCAAATATGATCAGAGGAGATCAATTTCGCATTAAATTCGGCTCCACAAAAGGAATTCATCAACTCAAACGGAGATCAACGAACCCATTTGAGTCCAAGCCACCGGTCGCCCAATCCCTTAACGATGAATCCCTTGGTAGAGACTGTATTCGTGTTTAACTCTACACGCTGTGGCTGATTTATATACTCATGGCTGGGTCAATGTCTCGATATTATTTGCAAATTGTTGTCCTCTGGTTCGTACTCCTCGTTCCTTCGCTCCCAAGATTCCAACTCGTCGGGAGCGGATTATGAACAAAACGGAACCGTCGTGGGGCAGGGGCTCTGCTTATCCTCCTGGGCTATATCGATATCGGGCTTTTTTTTCTTGCGAAATTTGTGAAAATAAAATGTCCAACCTAAAACAAAAGCAAAACAGTTTAATGGATTATTGAATAGATCCAACTTGAACTAACTTGAAAATCGAATCCGTTAATGAATTTAAATCAATGTATCTGTTTGATGAAATGTTTTATTTATATGATATGTGATTTTATTTTAGGAAAATCAATAAGGACCGATATTTTATTGTTAATTTAGTTATTTTTAATTTATTAAAAAACTCAATCGAATATCAATACATATATACATATTTTAGAAATATCAATATGCATGTTCAACAAAACATATGAAAATATTAGTATTTATGTCGATTAATGTTTTAAATTATATATCATTCCTAAGTTAATTGGGATGAAATAAACGGTGGCCTGCAAATATGGTAAAAGTACAATTATTTTTATGATTTGCAAAATATAGCGAAAATGTGGAGGTCAAACTCAAATATAAAAAAAAAAGAGGAAAAAGTCGGTTATACCTTTCAATTGGTGGTTTCATAAACGTATAAAAAATCTCACTTCGATATACCTAAAATGAAGTATGTCATTGATATATAGTATGAATGATATATTTGATACATCATTAAGAAACTTACAATGTTATTTAAACTAAAACCTTAAACTCGAATAAGATTTATCTATGATATATCTAATATGAATTATATAATTCATATATTTAGTGTGGCTGATATACTTCATATTAGTTATATGAGTTATACAACTTATATACTTGATATATCAATAAAAAACCTACAATATATAAGATTTATTAGTCTGATATACTTCATATTAGATATATTAGTTATATACTCAATATTGTGTATATTAGTTATATGGTTGTTATACCTAATATGAGTCTATAACTAATATATATACTTATATATCGATAAGAAACAAATATTATTACTTAAACTACGATATTCAACTTGAATATCATTTAATAATGAAGCATATCATTCATGTACCTAGTACGACAAATACAGACTTCATATTTGATATATAAGTTATATCATTGACATATTTTGAATTTGATATACTAGTTATGCAGGCAGATATATGATATACATGATATATCAATATGATGCAAACAATTATTTAACCTAAATATTCAACTCTAAGAAGATTTACAATGACATGTGTAATATAGAGTATGTTATTCATGTATTTGGTGAAAATGATATCGTTCCAAGATCAGACGAATCTGAACTAAGTTTGATAGCGAAGGTGATTTATAGAAATACCGATGGAAAAATAAGAATAACAAAACAACAGAAAAAATCTTATTTAAATTTAGTTGCCATGTTTATAAAAAAAAAATTGATATATTTACGCACATGACAAATTTCTGCTCCCTATTCAAAATTCCTGAAAATAAACCTCATCTTGTGATTTAAAAAATTAACTATTTTCAACCGCTATTTTCAAACAATGACAATGATTTTATATTTTTTTTGGTATAAAAATTAGGTGGAGGAGAGTTTGATCCTCCAAAATAAAAATGAGTAAATGTCAATTGTCGCATAATTATACTCATTTCGATGAAAAATAGTGAACGTTTATAATGTTTTTTTGAGATAAAAAACTATTTTGTATATGTGTACACCTGTCTCAAAATCTAAGGTTAAAAAAATTTATCTTGAAAGTAGGGACATCCAAAGTAAAAGTATTTAGCAAAATTGGCTATGAAGATTGAACTTGAAAACGATGGAAAAAAGAAAAAAAAACTATGAAGGTTACTGGACCACTGGTCTAGATTTTGATTAATCCCTAAAGAAAATTTCCAGCGTCGTTGGTTTTTCGTTGGCCTAATTTTATACCTTTTCTTTGAGCATATGATTGTTGAAAAAGTAAAGTCAACGTCAAAATTAAGATATTAAACTTCAATAGGTTTATTAGAATTCATTTTTTTTTCTGTCAAAAAAAAAAAAGAAAGCTGGTTGAAATTCCCATAAATGAAAAATGTAAGTTAATATTGTATAATTTGCCATCGTCAAATCTACTTCATAGCTATTATTTACCAGAATAACTAATCAATTTTGAAAGTTTAAAGGTTAAATTATAAGGTAGTATATATATATATATATATATATTTTTGCAAAGTATAAGGATAATATATTAACCTTCATAATTATATTAAATACGTATTTATATTTAGATAAGGTTTGATGGGTCTCTGCTCTTTAAACTTTCAATATATTTTATTTTTAAATAAGTAATATATGGTTGAGAATATGATTTTTTTTTTGACACTTTAATCAATATTATAATGTTGGAGCTATATTAAGTTAACTAAATTTTGAAATTGCATCTTATAGATATATGATATTTATTAAAGTTTTAAAACTTACCGGATACTTACAGAAGTTTGTCGACTTTATTATAAAAATTTTCTTTTGGTATAATTGGGGTTSGAACATCTAACTTTTTTATCAAAAATTTCCGTACACAATAGAAGAAGGAGATTCAAACTCAGAACAAGAGAGACGAAAACAGCATTAACACGGTGGGAGCGTTGGCTACGGAAGCCAGTTCAGGACTTTCTGCATCAGCTTCCAATATTACCATTTTCGCTCCGGAATTCATCAGGGGAACGGGAAAAATCACAGATTTTGAGACCAGGAAACCCCACATTTGACTGCGCTCTTCTCACCGGAAGCGCAGTAGAGATAGCTACACGATGGCAGAGAAGCAGTTGATAGTAGTCGTTGAAGGTACCGCAGCCATGGGTCCCTTCTGGCAAACTGTCGTATCTGATTACATTGAGAAGATCGTTAGGTATTCCCGTTATCTATCAGTTTTTCAATCTTCTCCCTGTTTATTTTATATTTTATTGTTTTAATGGGATACGAAAGTAGAATTATGCAACTCCTGTGTTTTCTAATGTTCTTGATTGTTTCGAGCTCCCCTTAGTCGATTTTAGTTTGTCCTTTCGGATTTTCTGGAATTCTCGAAAATTTCATCTGTTTCTGGACTTGTCAATAGGTTATAATTGTGATCGCGAACGGGTTGTTATCCGAGCGATCATAATCAGTGTGTTGTTCTTTCCCCAAATTCGAAAATCAGACTTAGAGCCCATGCGGAGTCACGGGCTGATTCTCCATTTTAAACTGGAACCATATCATTCTTGATGCTATAACCTGATTGTCTCGTGATTTCGATAATATTTTGATTATTGCCACTCGAGTCGCCTATTTATTTCGTATAACTCATGATTTGTTACCATATTACCTGGTGTGGAGGCATCGTATTTCATTGTTATTTCTTTACAGTTGCTAAGTGTTATTCTTGAAATCGAAAGTTTTGCTGGAGGTTCCATAAAAATGTTTTTGTTCATTAACTAAGACATCTATCTGTTTCATAATTGACATGCAATTTTTCTTCCATATTTCATTCATAAGAACTATCTCTTCCCTTTTTTATTCACACCAGCCTCTCTGTCTCCCTGTAATCACGCTGTATGTTATTCTCAAAAATCTGTATATAGTATAACACCAGGATTCCTTTTATTACCACCGGTCTCTCTTCCTCTATTTAATCACACTGTATATTGTTCCCCATACACCATGCTGTATATTACTAGAGATATCACTGTTTCGCTAAAAAAAAAAAAACAAGAGATATCACTGCTACTGTCATGGGTTTGTCGAGCCAGCATATCAAGAGTTGGTAAGCTTCTATCCAAGAATCATGCTCATGGTTAGGCATGAGAACTCCTCCCATACTTGTTCCCTCCCAATTAGCTGTTGGGTCAATGATGGAAAGTTCTGGACATTAGTTCTTCTATCCAGTCAGGTCTCCTTCCAGTTTGTGCTTTTCAAAGTGGGTATGCAATAGAAGGAGGTTGTTCCCATCAATTTTGGTTGATGTGACTTGATACAGTAAGCTAGCAAGAGGTAGATTCCCAATTGAGTAGTTACCAATGTAGGTCTCCACTTATCTTGTTTTGTATTTATAGGAGTTGCACTGGCCATAGTGTTGCTGATATCAAATAAATGTAAGAGAGTGGAACAGATTTCACATGTTTAAGTTATTCTGTTGTATATGAGCTCAAGGGTTTGCTCGCTATGAATACAAACAGGAGTTTCCAGAAAAAAAACTGAACAAGAGTACTCTAATAACTATAGCATTCAGGGATATCATTGTCTGTGTAACATGTACAATGTAATAAGCCATGTCGGATGTTATAGATACATACCGTCTGACCATCTACCATTGATCCAAATAATGCTGAAGATTATATCTTACCAATTTCATATGAAAATTTGTATATATCTCCATGTTTTAAATTTCCGTCGTTACTTTTTTATGTTAGATGCAACTCATGGATAATCACTTTGATGGTATTTCATATTAAGGATGTGTTAAAATTTTGACTTTCTATTTATGTAGGTGTTTCTGTGGAAATGAACTAACTGGGCAGGTACGCCTCTTTCTTTTTCGGAGGAATAAAATATTTTATCCCTAACATTTCATGTCTGGAATGATTCTATTTGTTCAGGTTTTGAAATTTGAGAATATCCAATACTTTTTGAATTCAGTTGTCAATCCAACTTCACAGCAGGTGATACTGTTGTAGGAATACAAGTGCAATTGATATATGGCCCTTCCATTTAGATTGGTACATGGCACCTCCACGTCAAATACTGGATGAAACTCTTGGTTCTTCCCAAGAAGACTTCAAAATTTAGGCCTTTATCACTTACAGGATTTAGAGTTAAAGGCTTAAAGCTGATGTTTCTATTGGGATGTGTGATGATTGATAATATTATGTTTAGTTAGTCGGTGAAATTGTTCGTAAAGGATTAAAATAGAGAAAAGAAGTAAGGGGCCATTTGGAAATTGTATCAAAATAGTTCTGTTTTTCAGAGCAAAAGTTGTGTAAAAATATATTTCAATAATTGGTTTATTTTATTTTTGTTTCCTTCTGTCTGTTCTCGTTTGTGAATGTGAGGTTGTTTCTTTTCAGATTCATGTCTTTGTGAATAGTGATTCTGCATAATATTAACTTTTACAAGTCATTCAATTATAGTTTTCATAAACACTTTTGAAAGCAGAAACAAAAAAATTATTTTCAAAATAGTTTGCCACACAAATCTTGTCCTATCAACTTTTAAGAAATCTAGTTATTTCAATTTTTAAGGTTACAAATCTAGCATAATGAGTTTTTAAGGTTACTCATCTATTCATTTCAATCGTCATAAGATTACCAATCTATCAACTTTTAAGTTTTCATTGATAAAAATATTAGCGAAATATTCATTTTTTTCTTTCACTTCTATGACAAAATATTTAAACACGTTGATTTCAAACCAGTTTCTGAAAATACTTACAAGTATCAAACTGTTTCTAGTTCTTTTTTTTCTTTTTTCTTTCTTCTTCTTCTTCTTTTTTATTTTTTTATTTATTTTTTATATGAAACACATATTTCATTGATGGTATGAAATATACTAAASGCCATAAGGGCAATTACAAGAACGCCTTCCAATCTGTGATAAGGACATTTAGGGAGTAGCTATTGAAAGGAGAATAGAAAACCGTTTCTGGTTCTTATAATCATGTTATTTAATATCATTTCTTACACTTAGTTTCAAACGGAGTATATTATTGTGAATTTTCTAGTATTGAAACTTGGTAATCTCATCTTTCATTCTACCTCACCATGTAATGCTTGACTCTACTTTTGGAATGCAGAAACCACCAACCTCTAATGTTGAGTTCTCTCTGGTCACGTACTATACTCATGGATCATATTGTGGTTCGTAAGGAGCTCATTTTTCTGATCCATTATTTTTATGCTTTGATGTGGAGTATATATTTTCCAGCACCAGCATGTTCCCATGTTTGTCATCGTCGTTTTCTCATGTAGCTAAATGTGATCACAAAATGGTTAGAAGAATGAAACTAGTCACTTCACTTCCAGTAAACAAACTGTCGTGTGGCATCTTGATTAGTTTTGGTGGAGATTTATGATGTTGAATATGCCAATTCTCTTTTATCTTGACTTTGCTCTTTTCAGGCTGTCTAGTTCAGCGGACTGGGTGGACAAGAGATGTTGATAATTTCATACAATGGCTTTCAGCCATACCCTTTTCTGGTGGTGGTTTCAGTGATGCAGCAATAGCTGAAGGGCTTGCTGAAGCGCTTATGGTACATATTTTCTTGCACTCTGTTCTTGTTCTTGTTCTTATGAACTAACTTTATACTCTTCTCATCATTTTGTAATGACTTAATTTGAATTGTTCGGTTTTGGAATCTTGCCTTCTTCTTTTGAATGATTATTTTTGCATTAGAGAGTCCCCATCTTCTTTCTACAATACTGATGGTGTTCCAGATTGTTCCGCCTTTTGCTCTCTTCCCTCAATTACTTCATGAACGTAATCCTTCACATTGTAATTATATAATGAGATTTTGTTGTGCTGAAGCTCTCTGCCTTCTTTTCTTTTCTTATTTTCTTAAATAAAAACTACAATTTCATTGAAGAAAATAAAATTAACTAGAACTCGAAAAGTGATTACAAGAAGATCCTTGGAGGATTTAAAGAAAGGTGAGTTATTATTGAATTCTTCAGAACAAGCAAAATAATTTAACTTCTGAAATGCAAGCAAAGGCCAATTATCAAGAGCTTTGAAAGCTCCAAATCCTTATGTTTTTATTCTAGAGGAGTTTGATGACATGAATATTTTATGTTTCTCTTTATAACTGAAAGTGGAAACTTTTGTGTTGGTTCAATGCTTCTATATAATTTATAATCACTAGTTTTCTTTTTACGTAGGTTTGATTTGAAGTTTGTTTATGGGTGAAGCCTTATGCTATGAACTTTAATTAGTTAGGGTCAGGTTAAATATTTTTGTGATCCCTTTGCATAGGCTAACCCATTTTTATTTTAACGGGATTGTTTTTTCCTTATAAATAGTGGTGCTTGGAAATGACATACAGGACGATGCAAAAGTATAAAACTAAGTTTTGGGGAGGGTTATCTCTATCTTTCGCCTTTAGGCAGTCTCCCTTTTTTGTGTCTATTTGGTTTTGAATATATTCCTTGGTTTCTTATATTAAAAGGAAAAAAAAAAAACTAAGTTTTGGATCTGCTATGGCCAAAAATTAGTTTACTTCGTTTTGCTTTGTTTTATTTGTAAACCATTTGGGATAGTTCCTGTAGAAATTTTTTTTTAATGACTTATGGCTGGTATGATATTGTGCCTCTCTTTATACTTTAATCTCTCTCAGTCTCGTGTAACTCAAAAAAATGCTTTCTTCTTGTTAATTCATCAATGGGTTGAAGTAAACTTTTGAAGTTGTGGAGGATTTATGTTTTCTGTTGTAATAATTTTTTGCTACCATAATTTCTTGTTCTCATGAAAAAAAAATAGCATGACTTCATATCCAAATTTATTTATTTATTTTTTGAAACAAGACTTCATATCCAATTAACTACACTTGTTCGCATATGGTTTCTCCTGCACGATACGTTCTTTTAGATGTTCCCAACTCAGCAAAATGGTGGCCAAAATCAACAAACTATGGATTTGCAGAAGCACTGTATTCTTGTTGCTGCAAGTAATCCTTATCCCCTGCCAACACCAGTCTATCGACCAACAGTGCAAAATTTGGAGCAACATGACAATGTTGAACCACAGCCCGGGAGTTCTCAATCATATGCTGAGACAGTTGCTAAATCATTTGCTCAGGTTCACATAACTTTGATTATTTCAAGACGATAAATTTATTTTCCCGCAAAGTTTGCAGATAATAAGGTAACTAGACCATCTTTCCATGCAGTGCTTCATATCTCTGTCGGTTATTTGTCCCAAACAGCTTCCAAAAATAAGAGCAATTTACAATGCTGTAAGTACGGATGTTTACTCAAGCTCTCTCCCCCATTACACGTGCACATAACAGGGAGGCCTGTCCCTTGCAACTTACCTGAGTCTACCATTTATGCACGTACTATCCTGAATCAGATGATTCTAATTTTCTTTGATTAATTTTATCATGGCAAAATCTGGAGTTACTCTGGCATCCTTCCATTGCCTTTTCAATTTCTAACCCCTCAAATATTCTGGATCTAGCCAATTTTTCTCATTGTTTTATTCCCCCATAGACTCAAATAGCAACTTTTGAACGGCTAAATGATATGATTTTTTTTTTAAAATTTTTTATAACATGGAATGGCTTAACTCTATCATGGTTTACATTTTCTAATTCTTTTCATTATTTGAGTTTTCACTGAGGAGAATTATTAGTAAGTAATTATAGATCAACATCATGGATTGCAAATATTGAGGAGGGGTGCTTTCAGTAGCTTCTTCAGCACCTTATATTGTTGCAGTATAGTTAGTTTTATTATTAAGTGTTAATGATCTCATTTTTAGGTATATGCATCTATCTAACTGCTCCACTTTTTAATGAAGGGGAAGCGCAACCCACGGGCAGCGGATCCACCTATTGATAATGTTAAAACACCCCAATATCTTGTTTTGGTCTCTGAAAATTTTATGGAAGCCCGTGTAGCTTTAAGTCGTCCTGGAATTACTAGTTTGCCTGCAAACCAGAGTCCTGTGAAGATGGACATCGCTCCTGTTGCGCCTGTTACAGGACCACCTCCAACCACTATTCAATCAGGTCCACGCATTAATAGTTTTTTCTTGTCTGATCCCGGATATGACATCAAGATGCATTGCTTATGGAATGTATTAAACTAATTATTATGTATGTCCTAGGCTTTTGAAAGAAATATCATATTCTTAAACAGTTAATTTGAGATGTCTTGCTAGTCTCCTACCAATCTTCATGCTAGTGATATGGTTATCTGACTGCAGAGACTGAAGCTTCCAATTGGCATTTAGATGTAGTATTTAAAGTATAATTTGAACCAGGTAAATTGGATTCATATGAAAGACACGGCATTAAAGTAGGTTCTCTTAGATAGGCAATCATTGAAGATTTAAGTCGATTGTTAAAGTCAGGGCTCTTTTGTGTAAATATTTGTCTTGTGGTAGCCCTCCTGTGTTTGGAACTGAGTTTTTCAAGGCTAAGATTGGAGAGATTTTCATGTTGTTGAGTTGGCTGATCTCTGGCTATAAAAAAATATTCATATCTGACATTTGAGAGAAGTGATTGACACTTGCATATCTCTTTTGTCTATTCCCAGTAAATGCACCACCTATCATTAACCGGCAGCCAGTTTCTGTTGCTAATGTGCCTCCTGCTATTGTGAAAGTTGTAAGAGTCATTTCTTTTTATACTTAAATTTCTATGGAAGAAACTTGGCTGTGTTACAATATCCTTACAACCTGAATTACGTTATGCTATACTTTTGTTCAGGAACCGAATACTGTTACATCTATGGCAAACGGAACTGCATATCCACCACATATGCAATCTGTTGCTTGTGCAGCTTCACAGGGAGTCCCGAGCTTGCAGACTTCTTCACCACTTTCTTCTCAGGAGATGATCACAAATAATGAGAATACACAAGATCTTAAACCACTAGTGAATGGCGTCCCACAGCCTCTACGACCTGTGGGTCCTGATAATGTTAGCATTTTGAATAATCTTTCTCAAGCACGAGGGATCAGTTCAGCTATAAATGCAGGACCATCCAAAGGACTTGGGACTATGGTCCAAACCCCAATGGTCATGCATGTATCCAACATGATATCCAGTGGAATGGGATCATCTGTACCTGCTGCACAAAATGTATTTTCGTCCGGTCAATCTGGTATGACATCAATAAATGGGTCTACAGCTATTACCCAGGTTACACCGCATGCAGGTCTAAGTTCACTTACTTCATCAAATAATAATTCCGGAAATTCAAACATTGCCACTTCACAAGCAGTTGGAACTCTCCAAGGTGGTGTTAGTGTGAGTCAATCAGTACCTGGGATTAGCCAAGGAAATCTTGCAGGGACACAAGTGGTGCAAAGTGGAATTGGCATGAACCAAAGTGTGATGAGTAGCTTAAACCAATCAGGTGTATCTTCTGGAAATGGTACGATGATTCCTACTCCAGGAATGCCCCAACAAGTTCAAGCTGGAATGCATTCACTTGGTGTGAGCAACAATGCAGCAGCTAACATGCCATTATCACAGCATACAGCAGGTGCTTTGCAACAAGCACAATCCAAATACGTGAAATTTTGGGAGGTATGTTGAGAATGTGTCTCTGTGTGTGTTTACATGATAGTATAGCCATTGAAAAGGTGAAAAGGTGAAAAGCTCTCTCTTCTCTTTGAAGCGTGTAAATGAAGATTTTGAATCTTTTCGCTGACATCTACATTCTTTTATCTATATAAAAAGCCCATTACACCTAATTATTTGATTATTTTCTTAAATAATGTGTGCATGTGGTGTAAATGAAGTTCTAAATGAAATAATGTTGCCTTATTTAGGCTCATTTAATTGTGATGACTTACATAGACTTAAAATAGCAACCATAAAGTTTGTTTTAACTGATCGTACTTCAGATTGATTTGAAAATTTTTCATATTTACATTGGTTCTTGGTTTCAAAGTCAGAGAAACTTTGGGGTATTCAATAATATAGTAGCTTAGAAACTATCTTACCTGAAAAGTAGGAGTTACATACTCCCGTCTCCCATTGTCTTCCCTGTTATCTTGCATCGATTTTTTATAAAAAGAATTTGCTTCCTATGAATAGTTACTTGCTTATTACTATTCTTTGTAGGTAGAATTCAGACCTTTAATTAAGTATCTAGTGGAATGAAAATGATTTCAAACATTGCTTGTGCATGCCAATGCAGGGAAATCTATCGGGGCAGAGACAAGGCCAGCCTGTTTTTATTACAAGGATGGAAGTATGATTCTGATCATCCACTTGATAATTTTAATCAAGATGGATTTTTATCTTCTTTCTTTTTCTCTGGTTGTAGAAAATATGAGCTTTTATTATAGTTAAACCCTTTTGATCAATCCAGTTATATCAATGGATTATACATTGAAAGCTTTTATGCTGATTAGAAAATTATCTTTCCTCTCACCATCATGTAAAGTTATCCATTGATATATAACTGATTAAATTATTTGTGCCAGGGTTACAGGAGTGCTTCAGCATCTGATAAGTAAGTGGACCATGGTTCTGAGTTTTTACTTTTTCACAAATTTGACATTTCTTGGTAATTTGTATGATTCTTCTGCAGTTGATAACTTATAAAAAGTTGTAAAATTAAAAGATTTGGATTATAATGTACATGTAATCAACTTTATCGGTTGGCAAAGGTTCACTGGTATGTTTGGGCACAATGGCAGCATTTTTTACTCAACATTTCTCCTCTTTGAATTCTGGGGTCCGTCCCTTAAAATGGACAATTTGTATCTAAAACTTGAGATTCTTGGTTCTCTGATTAAGGTAAAAACTAAAGGGGCTCAAGAAACCTGTCAGTCGTTTTTCAATGCTCATGAATATTTTTGTTCATTAAAAAATTCTTTTGTAACTATTCCCTTTGTTCCTTCAGAATTGGAAGGCTTTCATGTCTTAGCTCCTTTTTGGGGAGGGGCTCTCTCAACCCTTGCCCTTAGGCTGTTCTCTTTTGTGATTAATACATTTTCTCTCTGTTTCTTATCAAAAAAAAAGAAAAAAAGAAAAAAAAACCTCCAAATATTGATTCTGACATCACCTCATTCAAAATATAGAAATTTATGGTCCATTTCTGCGTACTTTTTCCCTCCCTTCCTTTTGAGATTCAGTTGACTTTACCTACTTTACACAGCTAAACATGTGGATTAGTTCAATTTTTTTCGTTGTGGTGGGAATTATTTATCTATCTTTTATGTCTGTAGGCTTGCAGCAAACTGGCCGCAGACAATGCAAATAGTTCGGCTTATCTCACAAGATCACATGAATAACAAGTAAGTTGTTGCTCAGTGCGATGATTATTGTTTTTCTCATCTTCGGTGTCAAATTTTTTAAACTAGCTCGAGTTTTATTAGTTTTTATTGTATTTTGATTTTAGGCAATATGTTGGAAAAGCTGATTTTCTTGTTTTCCGAGCTATGAATCAGCATGGGTTCCTTGGCCAGCTTCAAGAAAAGAAACTTGTAAGTTGTCTACATTTATGCTCGTATTATTGGCCATTGATTATTTTTATGTGCTTCTTTGAGTTTAAAAGTCAGAGTCCTTGGTGCTCACTGGCCCAATGTAACTATACATCATTGTTCAAATCGGCTTCGATTTTATCTGGATGGCTAGTTAAACCCTGTCATCGATTAACGGACGTTTGTAGGACTGTGAAGATAAATTATTCCTAAAATGGAAATTTCTGAATGATTCTATATAATTGAAGTTTGGTCCTTTGAAAGGGTGAATTACAGTCATCAGGTTTATGATGGGCGCCCAAGACCTCCAATTCACCATACACACACAAGGAAGACGTTGGGTAATGTCGGTAACATAAGGGACAAAATGTTGGAGGGCAATGGGTGTACGGGTGTGAGTGTGTGCTGTTCGGTGGTCCCTCCCTGATTTTTGTAACGGGCATGTAGCCATGTAGGGAAGGGTATTTGACATGGGGTTGGAACCCTTTCATGGTATCGGATTATTTTGTGTTTTTGGCTTAGAATTCCCCTGTAAGGAAGAGAGCACCTGGCCTCTCTAAGAGCTTGGGGACTTGTTCTTGTTGATTTTGTTGTGTTAAAAGGGAATTTTTATCTATAGGCCTTTTAGTTCCTATCAGTTTACTGACAAGCTGATGCAAGTAATAAATTGAAAAATCAAATGAAAGATAGATATATTGACACTGTACTACCAAGCAGGATTGATGGTTCTAGTACTACATGCAAACTTTACTTTGGTGCTTGCAACTTTTTTAGTTCCTTTGGATTAGTAATCGGCATTTCTTATGTGAACCTACATCAAATTTTATTCCCTGAGTAGTATCCGATGGTTTAATTTCCTGCTTTGTTACAGTGTGCAGTCATTCAGTTACCATCCCAGACTTTACTGCTATCTGTTTCAGATAAAGCTTGCCGCTTGATAGGGATGCTTTTTCCTGGGGTAAGACATTTTTGAGTTAGAAAGATTAGTTTGTATTTATTTTGCTTTAAATAAATGGTGAGAACACTTTATTTTGAGGTCAATACATTCCCAACAATCTCAGATGTTCATTGAGAAGTATATTTCGGTTTTTGACTGCAACTTCGGTATCTACTTTTGTCTTTTGCAATCATCAACATTAAATTAAATGCTTGATGCTCATTACCTTGTTCTGCAATTCTAAATTAAACGGCAGCATTTGATTCCTCGAATTTTTGTGTTGCAATTGTAGGATGCAGCATATCATGGTGTGTATTAAGTGCGAATAACTTTGATCTAAAGGTTCAATTAATCATCTTCCGAAATATTTCTATGTGGAAGGTGTATCGGACAATAGTTGTTGACCTCTTAGCTTTCTAATTCTGAGTATGAAGCTTAAATAAAAGGTAGAAGTAAACATAGTCACACATATTTGGAAAAAATTGACACGAGCACGGGAGGACTCACACAATAAGAAATCTTATCTTCTTTTTTTTTTTTTCCTAACGTATCTAATTATTGAGAGGCTCATACTTTTGTACAAGAGACAAATAAATGTATTAAACCATCAAGGACAAAAGAAACAACTAAAGGCCTTAAGATGAGGCCAAAGACGAAGAGTCAAACAAAAGGCTTCTAATCTGTCTAAGCTAATGAGAAATGAGGGAGCATACAAAAAAAAATTGTGAAGAGTGCTCTAATTATTGAGATGCTTGTATTTTTGTTTGCTTATTCGAACCTTCAATTTTGTGGCTAATTGAAAGTAAAAACAAAATTTTGGAAGCTTCCCAAGACTCTGTTTATTTGGTAACTTTTTTTAATCAATATCCTTTATGTTTATTTCTTCAGTTCAAATGATTCTCTGTCCCCTTTGTCTATATTCAGCTGGCATGTTTAAATACTTTTCCTTTTATTTTCTTTAATTTAATTCTCTCTTACATTAATAGTCCTTCCATTTTGTTGATTTTCCTCCATGCACTGAAGTGTGTTTGATCATGTTTCAATGAGTCGGTGCAAAATCATGAGAAAAATAATAAGATCAATCGATCATCAATCTTTCTTCCCTAGCATACGTAAATAGTGTTGGTGCATGAACTGCATGTGATATGGAATTTCTTTTCAAGATTGTCATTGTTTTATAGAACATATTGTTGAATCTTGATGTTATTGATCTTAACCTTGACTTAAACGCAAATACAATGGCGACGCGGCACGGCACGTTAAACATCGAATGGCATAGTCTCGTATAATGTCACATATACAGAAAAAATAAACCTTTTTGTTTATAATTCTATATTTGAATTTAGGCTCATGTTCATAATTGTAAGCAAAAAACGGCTCTTGCTCCGTCTTCAAATTAATTATTTACTTTCCTCATTTGGTAGCTTCTTTAATTTCCCCATTTGGTAGCTTATTTACTTTTCTGACATTTCAGGACCCTTCTTGTCCAATAGTCTCTAATTGTAGCTGTTTTTGTTACTTCATCATTTTTATTTTTTAACGAAGAACTGTATGAAAAACTTTTGTGTTCGGTATATGTTGCGATCTTTCTGTGTTCCCAAATTTGTAGAGTGATATTAATAATGGATTCTTGATCTTTCATAGTCGTGAAACTTTTTGAATCAGGATATGGTTGTGTTTAAGCCCCAAATTCCCACTCAACAGCAACAACAGCAGCAAATGCAACAGCAACAGATGCAACAACAGCTACAACAACATCCGCAGCTGCAGCAACAGCATCAGCTTTCTCAGTTGCAACAACATCAGCAACTTCCTCAGCTGCAACAACAACAGCGGCAGCTTCCTCAGTTGCAACAGCAGCAGCAGCAGCAGCAGCTTCCTCAGCTACAACAACAGCAGCAACAGCAGCAGCTTCCTCAGCTGCAACAACAGCAGCAGCAGCAGCAGCAGCAGCTTCCTCAGCTGCAACAGCAGCAGCAGCAACATCCTCAAATACAGCAGCAGCAGCCGCAGCTTCCTCAACTACAACAACAGCAGCAGCAACCACAACTGTCACAGATGCGAACCCAGCAGCAGATTCCACAAATGCAGCAACAGCAGCAACAAATGGTTGCAGGTGGAATTGGTCAATCATACGTTCAAGGTCCAGGGCGGTCGCAACTAGTCTCACAGGGACAAGTTTCTTCCCAGGGTCAATCTAACATGTCTGGTGGAAGCTTTATGGGTTGATTAGATCATTCTAAATTATTCTCAAATCGCATGGCGAATGGGGATGCCCTTATTATTTTGTTGTGACCACGGCAATGCACGATTAATACCAGATGTTTAATTGATGCTAATAATAAATTTATGTGTGTATATATACCAGGATTGTTGTGGTAACTATAATGTTATAATATCCATTAGGTTTGGAAGAAATGGGAAGTTTTTCCTTTCCTCCATGTACATTAAGTTAGGAGATAATGAATCTGTTTGGAATTGAATTCATTGGACATTTCAATCGAATCCCATTTTGTTATGAGATATGGCGACTATTTCTGATATTGCTCTTGAGAGAGAGACTGTTGGACATTCTACCATTTCTTCAAGCCAAAAGGAAATTTTGAAATGCATTCAAAGTTATGATTCGCAGCAGATTTTAGAATTTTAGGGTTTTGATGGATGTTAACGTGACTAGGTACTTTCATGTTCAATTTGCACTTTTAATTGAATTCTGTGTGATTTATTGGCAAAATGAACTATGGTGAGTGGTACTTTTCGCAATTAAAATAGTACAATGTATCGACAATTTGAATGTTATTACGCTTCGTTATATTTTGTAATTATTTTTTTACTACTATTTTTGTCATGTTTTATCTCAGTAATGCTAGATTTGCAACGGTGTACTTTAAAGATCTATTAAAATTATACTAAATTTTAAAAAATAATTTACATTCATACTTGAATTTATTAAAAATACATTTATACCCTCATGTTAACAAGATTTCTTACTCTAATAATATATCCACTAAATCCAAACTCTCATTTAGATTAATTTCAAAATATTCCTTCACTCAATCCATTCCCACCAAATTTAACTCATTTATACAACCCCAACTGGTTATATTTAGAGACTCAACAAACATCTCACCAACATATAACAAAAAAAAAACATGAAAAAGAACTTAAACAACTATAAATCTTACTTTTAAGCCTCAAATAACCAAACAAACTATTAATAACAATGGTACCCTCGTACCCCAAGTATCTTCACATTAGTATGATATTGTCTGCTTTGAGCACAACCCTCATTGCTTTTGGTTTCACTCAAAATGATTCATAACGGACATAATTATCCTCATCTATATACTATAGATCACTCTCTACTCTAATCAATACGAGACTTTTGTTTGCACACCTTGCAACTTCAACACAAACCGCACCTTCCTTAAATTACAGGCAGATTCATTTCAATGTGACTTGCATTGGGTTGCAATATTGTGGAAACCCTTCTTAATACGTGATCTGTTGCAATTGTAAAGAAGAAGTATTTAACAAATGGGCTTTATATTTTTGTTGTGAGAACTGAGAAGTCTCCAAGAAGTCATCTTTGAGCCTCGAGGCTTTTGGAAATAAATTCAAAAGGGGAAAAATTTTAGACCCACTTCACTTCCATCTTTAAAACACAGCCACCATCTTCTAACCTTTAATCATACTTTCTTTCACTAATTGCTTCCCACTCCTCAAACTCCAATTATTGTCATGAGAGAATATACCATTTTCAACAACCATAAAATGGCCCTGCTTCTCATCATTCCTACGTCATCACCAGTTTAACTCGAACCTTCCATGGTAAAGGGAAAAAAAAGAAAAGCGAATATATCAAATCATGGTATCCTTTATAGATAATTCTCACTTTAGTCCTTAATCTCTTCAAATTCTCAACTTTACCTTAATATATTGGCCTCCACGAAAACATTTGGTTAGTTGAAAGTTGACGTAGTCATACTTGAATACGTCAAAGGTGAAATAAATTTTATTGATTGGTGGGTCTAATTTGCTAACATGCAGAGGTAGGAATTCAAAACTGTTTGGTCGAGATTCGAGAATATATACCTTAATCAATTGATCTATGGATTAGTTTCAAAATACTCTTTTTAATTTTTCATAGTACAAAATTTCCAACACATATTGTTCAAAATAATGGAGAGAGAGAGAGAGAGAGCAGAGAAGGAGTTTTGCAGTAGAATCTGACATGGGCCACTGAGTTCCTGTTTAGCAGGGCCTCTGTGTAATGTGTTTAAGAAAGACGAACGAGGTAGTTGAGTATCATTTTTTATTCCTTTTTTCGCCTCAATTTTCAAACAACWCTTAATTTCATGTTTGTAAAACCCAAAAAAGAAGAGGCAAGGCGATTCTTCCATACGATTAAATAATTGTATGATCAAAGAGAAGCACATGTCTCTCCAAAAAAAAGGTAAAAAAAAACATTCAAATGAGTGAGATACTACGTGAGCATCGTACTCCCACCTATTTATACGATGAATGAAAGAAATTGACTCATGTTTGTTGACGTGGGCAACAGTAAATGGAAAGGAGTAGGTACTACTTGTAGTACTAGAAAATTTCTCGAATATTTAATGGAAAGTTCAATCTCTAAGTGAAATTGGCTTCCTTAAAACACCAACAAAGAATCGAGTAAATTAAAGCAAAATCACAAGTGGGTTAATTTAATTTAATTCAATTCATTAGTTTATTAATCTTTCTCTGTTCCACCCAACGATTGACTCCTCACCCACTACTTATATTTTTGGTTCCTCACTGAGAAAAAGAACTCATATTGAAGCTTCTCAACTCGTCTTTGTTTTTAGGTTCCATCTTATAAACATGGTTTCTGATTCTCAAGCTCCCAAGGTAAGAAGCTGCCATAACCATGGCTTATGGTTCTGGCTATGATCTTCTCTCTTACTTTTTTTTGTTCTAATTCCTCTCTTCTCCCCTGTCCACTCTTTAAAATAACTCTGGTTTTCATCTTTCATCTTTCTATCAGGGAGTTCATGCAGATGACCAGAAATGGAAGGTGGAGGACGCGTTGCGACGAGCCAAATGGTGGTACTCCACCTTCCACACAGTCACCGCCATGATAGGTGCAGGTGTCCTCAGCCTGCCCTATGCCATGGCTTATTTAGGATGGTAACCTTAAATTACCACTAAATTTAAAAATTTAAAATAGCGCTAAATTTATTGTTATTATTTTTTAAGTATATACCTAAAAAATAGTAAACTATTGCAAGACAAGGAGAAAATGATAGTGTAGAAGTTGAAACTGAAATTTTTCTATCATGCTGATGTATGTTAAATTTCTACTGGCCACACAGGACTTTTAAGTTAATAGAGTTGGATAAAAGTTTTTTTTTTTTTTTTTACATGCTTCGTTTCTTGTCAGCATTGAAAAATTTACGACTCATTTTTTTTTATAAAAATAATTATGATTTTTTGTATTTCTTTCGTTGATTGTCAAACATTTGAGAATGGTAAGGCAATATTAACCCTTACGAGTAAGAAGTCAAATATTTTCTTTTAAAAAATTTCATAATTTACCAAATACCGGTGACCATTGAAAATTAGTGAATAAAAATTTTGCTCTCTTTTTTGTTTTTCCTTCTTCCTTTTCATTTCTTGTGTTTTGTTTGCCATGGTTCAGGGGACCAGGAGCAATGGTTTTGTTTGTATCATGGTGCATGACTCTGAACACGATGTGGCAGATGATTCAACTCCACGAATGTGTACCCGGGACTCGTTTCGATCGGTACATCGACCTCGGCCGATACGCCTTCGGTGAAAAACTCGGCCCCTGGATCGTGCTGCCACAGCAGCTCATCGTCCAGGTCGGATGCGACATAGTGTATATTGTTACAGGCAAGGATTTATACATCAATATCAACCAAAATATAAATGTTTCAATTTAACAAAAATTAAATATCAATGAAAATATCGACACGTGAACGGATATGTAATACTCGGGTATTTCCGGTTACAGGAGGCAAGTGTATGAAGAAGTTCATGGAGATGGCTTGTGTGAACTGTGTCCAAATCAGACAATCCTACTGGATTGTGATGTTTGGTTCAATTCATTTTTTTCTTTCTCAACTTCCCAATTTCAATTCTGTTGCTGGGGTTTCTTTAGCAGCTGCAGTCATGTCTCTCAGGTAACTTATTTTCTTTACTTTTAAATTGTTTTTTTTTTTTTGCTCTTTTTTTAAGTCTAATTTAAACATCTTTTTTTAAAGACATTTCGCTGTAGAAAAAAGAAACCTTTTTTTTTTTTTTTAACAGATGGAATATGTTCGTTCCATTTAGTTGATCTGAATTTAGATCTACAGAATATTGTTTTTATAGCATAAGGAAGATTGTTTATCAAATGATGTGCTTGATCTGCTGCTTTATTCTTCATCTTTGAAACATGAGTTGTGAGTATAAGAATTTCTCATTTGGAAAGCAAAAAACTTTCTGATACCCTTTGAGAGAGCATAAAGTTGAAAAACATGGAGTATCTTTTGGTAGAATTGAACAACAAAAGTAAAGTTGGTGAAGGGACAAAAAAAGAAAAGAAACAAAATCTTTGCTACATAATAGTGTATATAGGTAAGCTACTTTGGAACCAATTAAGTCCGGACATTTTTGCCCTGTCATTTTGCAAGTTTCAATTTTACCTTCACCTTCGATCTTCTAATTTGTTTCATAAAGATCTTTCCATGTCTGATAAAAGAAAATTGAAAATTTCAAAATCTTTTGAAACAAGAGTATTATATATAATAATCATTTTATTTTTAAAAATTAAGTTTAAACCCTATTAACTCAGGTGTAACTTACCCCAGTTTTTCGAAATCTAAACAAAATTTCGAAAACTAAAAAGAAAAAGAAAATTAGTGTTAGAGAAGTTGTGAAACTTAATTAGAAAATTAAATGTGTTGTTAAGAATATCATGAAAAACATGAGAAAAATAAATTGCCAATAAATAAGTATAGATTTTAGAAACGTAAAACTTAAAAATGAAATTCTTAAGCTGATATGTTTGAGAAAGACATGTTCTATCTTCTAATAGAACAAATAGAGGATGGAAGGTCCTGTCATCTTGAAAGCAAGAAAAAGCAATAAAGACAAGAAAAAGCAATATTAGTTAGGCAGAGGGTAAAATAAAGTTTTAATCTTTTATTTGTATAATTCATTTAATTTTGGAATAGATTTCAATAATTAATAACACCGCTTCACCTATAAAAAAAAAGTTAGTAGATTTGGTTAAAGTAACTTTGCCAAAAATATTTGTTCAAATCAATTAAAGATATTTTCTTAAAGATTCGAATTTACTATTTTTTGGTCGAAAATAGGTATATCAGTTGAGCTGGATAATTAGAAAAATATTTTTATTCTTACAAAATTAAATAAATACTTATGTGAAACCAAGTATTATGGAACCATCCTTAACTACTTTTCAAGTTGGAGTTTTAAAATAATCTTCTTACTTTAGTTTTTTTTTTTCAAATTATATGTATAGGCATCTATTATTAATTTAAAGGTCTGTGGTTGGAATTTTGATAATATGAAAGTTGAATTTATTTGTAAAAAGAAAAACTTGTCAGTTTCACAATAGAAGCTCTATTTTGACATATAGAACTACTTTATCAAGATTCTTTTTTCTCTATATATATTTTCAAAGCTACTTAAAATTTTTAAGTTACCAAGGAAAGAAGACATTTTATAGAACAGAAAACATGAAGAATAAATTTTTATATAATTTTTTATTGAATATAAAAATTGGCTAAATTTAGTCCCCAAAGGATGAGATTTTTTTTTTTTTTTTGAATTCGGTCTCAACTCTTTTAGAATTTCCAAATTTCTTTTCTTATATGTACTGATTTTTTTTTCAATTAAATTTTTATTCTCATTATAGAAATTAAAATTGACCCCTCAAAAAGCTATCATTTTCTAAAATCACAGTCAATCGCTCTTATATCATTAAGTGATTATAATTATGTCAAGCTATAGTCATATTGTGACGAATAATTTTTATCAATGGAACTATCTTGGTTGCAGCTACTCGACAATTGCATGGGCGGGTAGCTTGAGTCGAGGGCGGATGGAAAACGTGAGCTACGCGTACAAGAAAACGAGCGTGGAAGATTCCATGTTCCGAGTGTTCAACGCGTTGGGCCAAATATCGTTCGCGTACGCCGGCCACGCCGTCGCTCTGGAGATTCAGGCCACCATTCCCTCCACTCCGGCCAAGCCCTCCAGAATTCCGATGTGGAAGGGCGCCGTCGCCGCCTATTTCATCAACGCCGTCTGCTATTTTCCGGTCGCCTTCATCGGATACTGGGCTTTCGGCCAAGACGTTGAAGATAATATTCTTTTGAACCTTCAGAGACCCGCCTGGCTCATTGCTTCTGCTAATCTCATGGTCGTTATCCACGTCATCGGCAGTTACCAAGTGAGTTTTCAAAATTAAATCATGTCTAATATATATATATTTTTATTTTATTCTTACCAGCATTAAAAGTGACAACTCGTTACTTTCAGGAAAAAAGTTCTATTTTCACATTTATTTCTTAGTCATCAAGTGTTCAAGATATGATTGGTCCTCACATGTTAGAGCTAAATATTTTTCTTTTCTTTTTTTTAATGTGATGATCCGAGACTTGGTTATGTACCGTAGGTCTACGCCATGCCTGTTTTTGACATGATGGAGAGGATGATGATGAAGAGATTCAACTTTCGTCAAGGATTTTGCCTAAGAATCATCACTAGATCAGCTTATGTTGGTAGGATTTTATATATTGTTAGATAGTTTTAATCGTATTTCATCTCCATAAACGTTTCAATTTGATTCTTATAGTTTAAATTTTGTTTCTCTTTAAAATTTTTAGGATCCCACTAAAACTAAGTCAAACCATAGACTATAGAGATAAAAATTGAAACTTTTGGAAAGTATCCAAATTATAAGTAATAGATTTCTAATTCAACCTAAAGTTGCATAACTTAGATCACTTCGTGCACTAAATTTATAATTTAATCCAAAGTTGAATATTTATGTTAGTTAATTAACTTTTTTTTTATTTATAATTTTAGTTAATTAACTTGATTTGGTGCGAATGTGTTTATTCTTTCAGTATTTACAATATTTGTTGGTGTCACCTTCCCTTTCTTCGGAGATCTTCTAGGTTTCTTCGGTGGTTTTGGTTTTGCTCCCACTTCATACTTCGTAAAAGCTCTCTCTTTTTGTCTCTAATATTTAGTTCATAATTATTATATGATACCAAAATTCCAAAAAAATTTGATCCAAAAATTGCAGCTTCCAAGTGTGATGTGGCTAGTGATCAAGAAGCCAAAGCGATTCAGTGGCAAATGGTTGATCAACTGGGTATTACTATATCTTATTAATTAATGATATTAACTATGGTCTATGAATTAAATACGATCCTAATTAACATTTTTTAATTTGGTGGTTACGTTGTTTTTCAGGCTAGCATATTTATTGGAGTGTTCATAATGTTGGCTTCCACTGTGGGAGGACTGCGAAATATAATAGCCGATGCTTCCACTTACACTTTCTACACCTAAAATTATTATATTAAATCAACTTTTCTTCTCCATCTTCCTTTGGTCATTCATGTCTTCAATTTTCGAGCTTAATTAACCTCAAATTTGTGAACTACTGGAACATGTTAACTACCCCATTTTATTTTTGAAAAATAAGCTTACGTTTATGTTTGAGATGCGTTATAGATAGGTTTATATATATATATTTAATGATTAATGTAGTTATATGACTCAACTTAAATGGTTTCAATTTTCAACACAGAAAAAAAAAAACCTTATATTGAAGATCTATGTATACCGAGATTATTAAAATACATAAACATAAGAAAGAAAATGGCAAGAGGTGATAAAATATTCATATTTTATTGTATAATTTAAGGTGGGGGAAACATAGATAGCGTTCTTCATCATTGCTCTTGAAATCAAAATTGAAAAAGACATATCCATATATCTCTATCGTTGACTCGAAAAGAGAATTACTCCAAATTGGAGAAAAACCATGATCTACCAAAGATATGTAAAAAAATTTTACAATTACACATATTTTCCGACTCTAATTACACAAACACTATTAAAACAAATATCACTCAGTTAATTGGAGCTAATATATAGATTTAAAGTATTCCAATTGGGAGGGGTAAAATTCAAAAGTATGAACTTTTTTTATGGTATATTTGGAGCCAACAACGTGACGTAAGTATGATTACCTCCGCTAATAAGAATTTAAGTTTGTACATTCATTGTGTTGATTAGAGGTGGTTTGGTAATTTCCACTATCAAACACCATTTTAATTAGTTCATTCAACTAATTACCCATCACATAATATAATTCTTTACGATATGTTAAAAGATTGTTCACAAAACACGTTCTATTTTTTCTTCAAAATTTGACAAAGATTTTAACAGTAATTCCAATAACTTCTAACATCCAATAATATAATCAAAAGGTTATATATCCAATAGGTCTAATATAATTATGACCCAATTTTTAATTGTTGAATTTGGTCAACGTGCAATTTACTTAAGCAACCAAGAAATAACATTGTAAGAAAACTTTATAAGTGGCTAAGATTTGTGTCATTATGGTGCTGTTTATACATATATAGTGATAAAGTGGGTGTCTAATCTATTAATTAGTGCTCAATTAGCCTGTAATAAAGAGATAATGCACATTTTACTTTAATTATTGATTCTTGATTATGCTGATGAACTACATGACGTTTTTTCCATTCAAAATGATCACTTGAATTTAGACTATACGGTTGGAAAAGTCTAATAAGACAAAATTCAACTAGTCTCCCAAAAAAAAAAAATTCACCTAAATCCCATATCCATTTGTATATTTATTAAAAATAAACAAATAGGATTTTTCTTCCTACCATTTATGTTGGACCATGACATTTTTAAACACTTCTAAATTAATAACCTTTGCTGAGGTGAATTAGTAATATCAAATAGTTTTTTTTTTTAAGGTAGTGAATTGTATTAATAAGAAAACGCCACTTGAGTTACATTTGATATCAACGTATCAATAAAATCATTAATAAGCTACTGAGGAAAACATCAATTCCAATTCCAAAAACAGATTGAAATCCATGGTCTATAATACACTAATTAAAATAGTTTACATAAACATTTCAATAATCTATTTTCGTTAACATTTTATTCACTCAAATCTAAATATATTGTTAACTATATTTATATTATTCTTTTAATTCACTATAAATCTCCCGAATTGGCCAACGGCCCAAGGCCCATGTTTTATGGGCTGTGTTGTAGAGGAAGTTGGGCACTAGCCTTGCGAAGTACAACAGTTTCAAGGTCCTGTTTGTGATCACCAAAACGACGTCGTCTCTTTAGTTTCTTTGTCTTCCTCCTCCGTTCCTACTCATAGGCCTCCCTCTGGAAACGAACCAGTCCACTGCGATTTTCTGTTTTCTCCTCCTTGAATCTTTTAAATCAGTAGAAGGAGAAGAATTTCCCATCGGAGCTGATTTTTCGTTTCAGATAGACAGGAGGAAAATTCATGGAGATTGCGATTTGCGGGAAATTAGCTCTCTCGCCCAACCACGTCTTCAACCCCCAACCAGGTACTAATTTTTTTCACTCTTTTTCTTCAGTGTTAACCATTAAATATTCTTCGGATTTACTTATTTCATTGTGTTTCTTCGTCCTTTCTGCTTTGATTTTGATTCGCCATTTCTGATTCCTCTTGAAAATTCTCATACATCGTCCTTCCTATGTATCTTATCTTCCAAGGGGGTTTGAATTAAATTCTCGGTTCTAATTTTTTAATCTCAACATCATATTGGCATCTGAACAAGTTTAGTAGCTTCTACTAAGTTATGTGATGATCTCAATTGATCTTTGAAGTTGTTATGCTCGTGCCCTCCTGCCATCATCATCTATTTGCACTGGACTGAACCGATTGTCATAATCTGATAGGGAGTGACTAACAGTTGTAAGGAATGTACCTTAAGACCAAAAAGTGCACTATATTTTTATGGAAAGAATTTTCCCTGTGTATGCAGATATCTTGAATGGATTATATCCTATTCTTCCAGAATCTTCTGTTCTGTGGCATCTTCCTTATGCTAGATTTATAGAAGAATCGATCTCCTTTTTTTCTCCTAGTGTGGTCAATAAGCTGTCTAGCATATGCTACCCCACTTCAATTTCCCATCCAATGGCTATTCTTCTATCATTCTTTATCTTTGTACTTTGCTTTACATGCTTTTTTATTTTTTGTTCCATATTCTCTTTTGCATATGGCTTAGTTGTCAATCACGTTGAAGCTTCATTGTTTCTGGCTATCAGTGACATTAATCTACTTTCTATTCTTTTGAAGATTAAGATTACTTTTCCTCACTTTATTGATTCCATTGCTTTGTTATATTTATATGACTATTGATTAGATTCTTCTCATTTTACAACTTTATCTAATTTATCAAAGTGCCGCACTATGACTGGATTAGCAATGGATAATATAGTATAGTTCTCATAGCTTCATATAAAAGTTTCATTTCAGGGGACAAAAACTGTGTGTGTAGAGGGCTATGCTCGAGCCTTGGTGCAGCGATTGTTAAATCAGCAACAACAGCAGGAAAAGGAGGAGGGTTGTTGGAGAGGCCTGTTATTGAAAAAGCCACTCCTGGAAGAGAATCCGAGTTTGATTTGAGGTATTAAATATTAGACCAGTTATGTATTCAAAAGACTACTATATACTGAACTAGAAAAGGGGACAAAGAGAGAATAAAGTATACCAGTTAAAGGCTTTAAAGAGATGGACAGATTCTGTTGTAGGGTCGTCCGAAGACCAATGGTTAGATAGTTTATCACTAATCTTTACAATTTGAATTCTAAACCAGGACTACTACTCTTACGCAATGCATCTTTTGCTAATAACTTTACATGTATGAATTACTTTGTGTTGTCCATCCTGTACTTTGGATGATTTTAGGGATAATGTTATTTTATCAGCTATGCTATGTTGAACTTTGTGTTGAAACTCCAAAAACAAAGCGTCTTTATTTATATGAAAATGGTATTCATTTTTTATGATAGCCTCTGTTCTTGTACCTTAACACAGAAACTAAATACATTGACTTTTGAAATTTGAATACATAAAATGAATGGCTTTAAAGAGTGGTATGAGCCTGAATTGCAAATGACGGAAATTAAATGGTATCATCTTTTTTGACTGCTTTAAAAAATGAAACCCAGTAGCTGAATTCTTGCTGCAACTTTGGCAGACTTTTGGTTATTAGCAGATGTTGAAGTGATTTTTTGAATGTTTGATTGTACAACTCGATTCTGAATGAATGCAATGATATCATTATTCTCTGTTGGATAATTCTTTTTCATAGAACGAAGCTTCAAATCTGAACTGGTCATTCTGTATCAATGAAAATTTTCAGGAGATCAAGGAAAACGACGCCACCATATCGTGTCATTCTGCATAATGATGACTTCAATAAACGAGAATACGTAGTCCAAGTCCTGATGAAAGTTATCCCTGGAATGACGCTCGACAATGCAGTTAACATCATGCAAGAAGCTCACTACAATGGCTTGTCACTGGTGATCATTTGTGCTCAGGCTGATGCTGAAGAACACTGCATGCAGCTCAGAGGCAATGGACTCTTAAGTTCAATTGAACCTGCAAGTGGTGGGTGCTGCTAAACCCTTTCATTGTAGGATTATATGTATTCAAGCCAGTCTACATTACTTAAGGCAGGGAGATAGGTTAGCATTGGAAAAGAAAAGGAAAAGGAAACTGGTACGTGAGTATTAGACAACTCCTATGATATTTTGTTTGTTTTGGGAGTAGAAAAACTCTTTTTTGTCTTCTTTATTATTATTTATTTTCAATTTGAAGTACATATATGAAAAATGAACTTCAGATTTCTGCTACTTTATTGTGTATATATATATATATATATATATATTAATACCAGAGAAAAATATGTAATTGTTGTGTTCAGATATTTTTGTTCTCCGAGGAGAAAACCATTAACATGATTTGATTTCAATCAACTGAAAACTAGAAATGCCACTGTTAGAAGCCCTTATACATACCAGATGGATTTGTTATTTTAAGCCACTCGAACTCAGTATTCAGGAAAGAAAACCAGCATAGGATAAGAGTTGAGTAAGAAAAAGAAAAAGAAGAAAGAAAAGTGAGACAGAATAATCACAGGAGCAGATGCTGGAGCATTAAGTGGCCACCCGGAGCTAGTTTTAGCAAAATGATAGCTCAAAAACTTTTAACACACTCGAATTAAAGCAGTGGGCTATTCAATTCACCCATTATTCTAAAGTGCATACTGTTTGTTGGTGTGAATAGTGCATTATTGAGCCCCGGCTTTTGACACACAAATCTTCCCTCTTCGGCCCCACCGCCCAAATAAAAATTGGTAATTTTTCAAAGTTCATCAGAAGAAGAGAAGAATTGGAATTGGAGTTATAATAAGATGGAAGATTTATTTGGTTACATTATTTTGGGGTCATGTCCCACCCGTGCGTTTGCTTCATTCATTCAAAGCATCTCTCTTTCTTTCTTTCTGTTCCGGCCATCAAGCGCGCTTGTCGTGAAACCAAGTAAATGACACTCGCGGCTTGTCTTCTTCTCCCGCCTTCCCTCTCTTAAATACTAAACCTCCCTCTGTTTTCCCTTCTCAACCACTCCTCTCTTTTTCTTTATCTTCCCACTTTAATGGCGGACTTTTCTCTGCTTCTTCTCCTCCTTGTTTTCTCCTCTTTTTCCGGCCTTCACTCCCGGAGCTTGCCCCTCACGCCTAAAACCTCCGTGCTTGATGTGGCGGCTTCCATTCAGAGGACGACAGAGATTTTTGCATTTCAGGCTGAATCTACTGTGCCAGAACGAGAACAAATC